CGTTTCATTTTGGCCATGTTCTGCCGATGGAAGCAATGCATATTTCATGCCTGTTGAATTTTATTTGGTGAGCGACCCTCCCTGTAATAATCTCCTCCATGTGGTCTGCTCTCCTATAATCGTACAAGGGGGGGAAGTTGATCAGCAGCATATTTACGATGATGTCGAGGTTCGTGAGCAAGACAGTGAACAGCTTCAGGGGTAGCCTCATGGTGACCGTCTGGAACGCTGCCAACGAATGGTTGAAGCTGGCAGTGGCGTTACTGTTTGGTCTGTGATTTGAGATATAGATTCACGCAGAGATTAATAGCCTTCCACAGAGACCCAAATATTAATGCAGACACCCAAAGACTCACATACACACTCGTAGACTCAAATAGAGTCTCAAAGACTCCTATGGACACTATTTTGTCAAGCGTGGAGATGAGCAAAGTTTCTACATTAGCTTGTAGGTTGGTGAGCGAGCCAGTGGATGGCTTCAGAGGTCGCCTCGTGAATATCTGAAACGCTGCTAGCGAATGACCGAAGTGGGCAGTGGCAATGCTCTGTAGTTCATGGTTTGAGACTGGTGGACACTGTCACAATGTGGGCAATTATTCTCAATTAGTGTAGAGCATAGCCACTTCTGTCATGTGCCATCAGTGCGCACTCGACAGGTAGAAACTATCATGTGGCAGGCACTCATTTGTTAAGTGCTAGACAGAGGACAGGTAGACACGTGAAGACCAGACAGAGACGCACTAGGAGAGTATGAACTGGACCAGCGTGCACTCGACTGCCAGTCGCTGGACAGTGGCGTAGCACGGCCAGCATGAGGTCTCGTACAAGGAATGACATTGCCTCCCCACCGCTACCCCCCGTATCCAATTTCGTTCTCCGTAGCCGCACGTCTGAGACCCTTTGGCCTGTGGGCCCCAGTGCAGTTGCCCCGCCTGCACACTCAAAGGCTGCGCCATTGGGCACCAGACACAGACACTATACTGGAGAACACCGAGCAAGGGATAGGCACACTCAGTAGGTAGATTCTCAGACGCATCATCGGTGGAACACTGCACTACGAACCCAACGTGGATTTAAATACTGGCCATGGCTAACATCAGTGGTGAGTGATATATGAACCAATACTTGGCTTCCCCTAGGTTGGCTCAATCTTAAATGAGCAGCTGGTGCAACGAGTAAACAAATTGCACTGTGGAAGCAAAGGTGGGTGAGCTTGGGTTGGCCAGCATCACAAACAGGTAAATGCTCATTAAATATACAGACGCTAACCAGGTGAACGCGAGACAGGTAGGTGCTGAACAGGTAAGCACTGAACAGGTAAGCAGGTTAATCATTTACCTTTGCAAACACTCCCCCCCTCCACGTGTCTAAATAGTCTGCAATGTTTCCAATCATCACTGCTGTAGCAAACACTGCAATGCCATGCAAAGGTCACTCCCCATAAAACACAAGAAGCTTGCAATGTGCAGATGTATACTTGCCTTTACTGATAACGGCATGTTCATATACAAGTCACGATTAAATGAGTCTAATGCCAATTCACACACTGAGAATTCGCCTTGCTTCCATATACCACATAGAGCAGGTAAAGCTAAGAAATGTAAGATGAATAGACAAGTGAGATACATGAATATGCACGCGTAGATTAGAGAACGTACGCAGATTAATAACATTCAAACGTGACTGCAGGGATTCATATGCTTGGTTCTTTCGGTAAAGTCACGTAGAAGGGAAACAATAAAATAATAAAAATATAAAACAATAAAATTCTCACGACGTTTCGACTGCAACACAAGCAATCATCATCAGTCGAAACGTCGTGAGAATTTAATTGTTTTATATTGTTATTATTTGATTGTTTCCCTTCTACGTGACTTTACCGAAAGAACCAAGAATATAACATTCAAACGGTTAAGGAGAGGGAGTGGTGCGTGGAAAGGACACATCGCTGGAAGGCGCGATGGCTCAGGGTCAGGAATGCTGTAATAACGGAGTGGCAGGCCAGGGAGGGACGTCGACCACGGAGATGGAGCGATCAAGTCAACTCGTGCGACGGTGCTAGCCAGGTGGATTATTACATCGCAGGAACATGATATGACAATGGCTTTGGGCTTCATCCAGCAGTAGATTAATCATGGCTGATGAAATTGATGATGATGGCAGGTGTTGCCATCCAAAGCATGTGCAATATGCTAAACATGTAGTGCGCTTGATATGCGTTGTTCAGCGCAGTGTACGCGGTGTCAGATGAACGACGGCTGTGCCGCAGTGTGCATGAAAACATGTTTTAGCAGAGCAAAACATTCCCGTGAAATGTCACGGATTAAGGCCCCCATAAAGACCCCGTTTCCCACAGAGATTTAGACGCGACCAAGGATCCCCCATCCAGCCTGCAGAGGCTGTTGAGGCAAGTGCTATTAGCGAGCACCTGTTAAGGTAGACACAGCGCATGAGGATGTGGTGTGCCGTGGATCACACCCTTCCGCCTTTGTCTCTCCAGTGCTATGTTTAAATACTGCACCCAGGTACAGATTGAGGGCAAAGTACGCCAACCACTGTACTAGCGCTTCTCACATATACTGGTGTACACAAATGCATACAGAAAGAGCCCTGTATAGCCTGAACAGACCGTTGGGGCAAGTCTTTTTGCGTGCAACGATGAACGCCGGAACGCCACACGAGGTGATGGGTGGCCGGAGCTATGCTCGGCCGCCTTTGTCTCTCCAATTATGTTTACACTCATTCACTCGTTTTAATGCTGAGTCGACCAAGAGGAGACCCAGGAGCAGTTCAAACATGAACTGTTACTGTGATTGGTCGTGAGCGGAATCCAACTCGGGTAGCTGGGTTCATAGCGAGGTGCGCTTACGAATGCACTACCGCAAACACACGCACACATACAGGTACACATAAAGTACAGAACACACAAGAACTCATGTGAGGTGGCTAGGAATGTTAGTACATAACTGGATTATTGTATCTATCTGTGCTACGCTACGCGTTATTCCTTTGCAGGCGTGTTGGGTTTCTCCGGGCTATACAGTTTCCTACCATATGTTGCCAAACTCTCATTGGTGGAATTAACCAAACATCCCAATGCAACAGCAGCACCGTCCTGAAAAAAAACATCCTTGAGACTCAGTGAGGCTTTCTTGGCTAAATAAAGGACATTATAATTAGTATTGCTCTTACATACATCAAGTAATATTATTACGCATAAACAGAGCTTATACATGTTGCTGCGCCATGAAGCCGGAGACATGAACATTTTGCATCTTCGTCAATTAAACTGCCTTTTAAATAAAAATATATATAATAGGCGAGGTTTCGGGCAATTTGTTATGAATGTGTGCCGAATAAAGGGGCTGAAATGTCTCCTTTATATATTTTATTTTAAGGTCAGGGTGTTATTATTAATAGCGCGTGTGCACCACTGCCAACACAGCAGCAGCATCATCAACACGTGTTTAATTACAGACACATGAGTTAAAGTCCCGGCCATGGTTGAGATTAATTACAGACACGTGAGTAAAATTCCCGGCCATGGTTGAGTTTAATTACAGACACGTGAGTTAAATTCTCGGCCATGGTTGAGGAGGAAGTGAAACGCAGGTCATTGTATTCCATCAGCAATTTGCCCAGCGCTGGATCGATAAGCCACGTCTTCGACACGTGGTATACACACGCACAAGAGCAACTCCTTGTCAATCCACTGCTAGATGAGGGCCTCCCCATGCTGTGCGGATGCGCGGGGGTTATTTGACCATACTTCACCAGGCTGGTCAGTGTGGGTTTGTGGAGGCGGGGAGCATAATAGGCATGGGGCGCACACAGTAGTACAGTACAATAATTGATTGTGCTGCAATGCCCTCTGCCGACCACAAGCCCGTCGCAGCAGCGCCTGTCGTATGCTGCTGCACAGTGGTCGCCAATCCAAGCACTATCCAGGCCCTACATCTGCTTGGCTTGCGAGAATTGAGGAACCTTCTTCTCCCGAGAGGCGGCGCCTTGCGGGTGATTTCGTGCCAGGCGACCGCGTGGGTCACCCCGCCCCTCTCCAGAGACGTGCGGCTGCTCTCGAGGGCTCCCTCTAGTGGAGGCTCCTTGCACCAGCAGTGGCGTGAACGAGCAATTGCAGGGCTGCACCTTTTGCTCATGTTGGTATGTGCATGCGATTATATTACATTTAAATGATCGCAATCGTAAGGCATCAGGAAGGCTACCAAGATAACGTGCATAAGGAATACCGTCAGAGGTGGGGATCGTCGGTCTGGTGATTACGCAACGTGTGAGTGTGAACGTGTGCCGTACCACACGCTGTGTGTGCAAGGCGTCGTCGGAAAGCATCAATAATTACAGCGCTAATCGTTACGAGAGTGAGCCTAGCCACACGGCGCCAAGGAGAATGGGTTGTCAACACACACACAGGAATGCACACACACTGTGTTCACTCGACACACACACCCTACATACACCCGTCATATATGCATACGCCTGAACACGTATACGTACACTCATCGATGCGTATACAATCAACGCGAACGCACATATTCATGAACACATACGCTCAACATACCCATGTACACATATACCACACGCGCGCGCACACTGAACACAATTTTCGCATTACACCCAGCACACACACACACGAACTTATTTGAATACACACACGCGCGCACAGCATCCCTTTTCCCCCAGCTATGCAGCATCACCGCCATTCACAGAGCCTCTTCTACTTTTAGCTATAGGCGGCACCACCACCATCACCTGTCCACGCATAGCCCACCACCACGAAAATCATCGGCATCATCATCAGCCGCAGCAGCATCACGCACATGGGAAGCCACAGCCGCCAAAGTGTGGGCTCGGCGAGAGCTGCCGTGGTCATCACGTTTGGCGATGCGTGAAACACGCTCCCTTCGCTGCTCCCTCTAAAAAACAACCAGCATCATCACCACCTCGACCGCCACCACCATCGCCGTGACTCAACACGCGCTCACCTCGCTCAGCCTGTGCTGCGCCTCGCTGCCCCTCGCAAAGAGCGGACGGGAGCGGCGTGCCGCGTCCACTCTCTCAGCAGCAGCGAACAAATGTGACGACCTCTGTTCTACGGCGCGTCGTCCCTTGCACGTCCGACTACTGCCGCCACTGACACGGCGCGTGTAATCGCAACCCTCCCTCCCTAGCACGCTCGACGGCTCCGCGTGTTGTGATGATGTGTGTCACTGGTGATATTCCTGCCTCTCTCCTATGCGCTCACGCGCTCTCTTCTCTCGGTGGCTCCAATTGCACAGGAGCTTGCATCTCTCGGGGGCACATCGAGGCGGCGCGGGCTTCCTCCTCCTCCTTCCAGCCCCCCTCCCTCCCTATCACCCGCGCGTGCCATTGGCTCTCGCCGATCTGCGGTGCTGTGTGGATATGGGAGGGGTGGCTGGATGTTTGTTGCTGTTGCTGCTTCTACTGCCTATGCCATCTGTGAAATCCAGAGCCACGCTGCACCGCCCGTTCGCGTAACGGGCGGGGCGAGCACGCGTGAGTGTAATCCCTTCTGCACGTCGTACATAGAGTAGTGGTGGTGGTGTTGTTGTTTATCGGGATAATGCGCTCTAGGGGACTGGGAGACGGGTGTGTGATGGGTGGGAAGATGCACTCAGAGGGTGATATATGTTATGTAATATTCTATTTTTGTTATTCAACATTTCACCTGGATAATCCCTTAAGATGGGAAATATCGTTTACAAGGGTATGAAGTGACATTGCCACACACAAGGAATGACGCCCATATAAAGATGCAAATATATACCATTTATACAGTATACGGTTATAGAAAGATACGTACGTAATAGTGCACTAAGATGGGAAATATCGTTTACAAGGGTATGAAGTGACATTGCCACACACAAGGAATAACGCCTATATAAAGATACAAAAAATATACTATTTATACAGTATACGGTTATAGAAAGATACGTACGTAATAGTGCACTTACTATATTGAGTGTATGAACAAGGCATAACGCTTGCCTTCATTTAAATTTGAGTCGTCTGGGGCCGAGGGGCCGTCCATAAATGACGTCACGCGATTTTGGACGATTTTGACCCCCCCCCCCCTTTGTCACACGGCGTCCCAAAAAGTCAGACCCCCCCTCAAATATGACGTCACAAAGCTCTGCCCCCCCCCCAAAAATATATAAAACATGCTTCAAATCGCTTTAAACTATTGTCAATGTAGTGCGTATTTAATGTGGCGCTGCACTCTGATGTTGTAGGAGAAAACATTTATTAAAAAGTATTTTTTATTAAGTAGAACGTGCTGTCTATATTTATTTAAAGTTGCGCATTTTGATGTGACGTCACATTTCTCACCCCCCCCATCCCATCGTCACACATCGTCACAAATGTCTGACCCCCCCCCACCCCTAGGTGCGTGACGTCATTTATGGACGGCCCCCGAGCATCGGAAAATATTCCACACTTTGACTTGCAAAATAAAACTTGCTGTCAAGGGGTAGATCAGATGGTTAACAAAAAAATAAACTGGCAGAATTGACGAAAACGGGACCCAAAACCTGCACACAAAACCAGTGCTACGTCCATTGATGACGACATTACGCCTGACGTCATCTCGCGACGTCGCCACTCCACGACTCTCAGTTCCACCGCATGGGAGCAGAGGACAGCGCTAATAAAACATGTTTAAACAATTTAAACCATGGCATCAGCAAAGACCGGTCCACGGAATGTTATAAGGAAGGCAGATGGCCAAGCCTCGTGATCTACTCAAGAGGTAGTCAGTTGCTAGCCGGAGCACAAAAGAGCCGCCGGCCACGACCTGCCCAGACTTCGGTAGACAGTAATCGAGCGGCTACGCAATGGAAAAGCTGCCGGGCTGGGTCCCATCGTGTCGGAGTTCCTGAAATGTGGCGTGAATGGGGGGTTAGCATCACCTTGCTTCATTTGTTCACACTCATTTGGACCTCTTGACATCCCGCGCTGGCCTCTCAGACGTGGACGACCTCAGCTCGTCCTCAGTGAGACGTTCCAGCTGCAGTGTCAAGCTGGTGCTGGCTCACGGAGTGTACTAGAACCAGGGGGTACAGTCACGGAGTGTAATAGAACCAGGGGGTACAGTCACGGAGTGTACTAGAACCAGGGAGTACAGTCACGGAGTGTACTAGAACCAGGGGGTACAGTCACGGAGTGTAATAGAACCAGTGAGTACAGTCACGGAGTGTAATAGAACCAGGGAGTACAGTCACGGAGTGTACTAGAACCAGGGAGTACAGTCACGGAGTGTACTAGAACCAGGGGGTACAGTCACGGAGTGTAATAGAACCAGGGGGTACAGTCACGGAGTGTAATAGAACCAGGGAGTACAGTCACGGAGTGTACTAGAACCAGGGAGTACAGTCACGGAGTGTACTAGAACCAGGGGGTACAGTCACGGAGTGTAATAGAACCAGGGAGTACAGTCACGGAGTGTACTAGAACCAGGGAGTACAGTCACGGAGTGTACTAGAACCAGGGAGTACAGTCACGGAGTGTACAAGAACCAGGGGGTACAGTCACGGAGTGTAATAGAACCAGTGAGTACAGTCACGGAGTGTACTAGAACCAGGGAGTACCGTCACGGAGTGTACTAGAACCAGGGAGTACAGTCACGAAGTGTAATAGAACCAGGGAGTACAGTCACGGAGTGTACTAGAACCAGGGAGTACCGTCACGGAGTGTAATAGAACCAGGGAGTAAAGTCACGGAGTGTACTAGAACCAGGGAGTACCGTCACGGAGTGTACTAGAACCAGGGAGTACAGTCACGGAGTGTACTAGAACCAGGGAGTACAGTCACGGAGTGTACTAGAACCAGGGAGTACAGTCACGGAGTGTAACAGAACCAGGGAGTAAAGTCACGGAGTGTACTAGAACCAGGGAGTACAGTCACGGAGTGTAATAGAACCAGGGAGTACAGTCACGGAGTGTACTAGAACCAGGGAATACAGTCACGGAGTGTACTAGAACCAGGGAGTACAGTCACGGAGTGTAATAGAACCAGGGGGTAAAGTCACGGAGTGTAATAGAACCAGGGGGTAAAGTCACGGAGTGTACTGGAACCAGGGAGTACAGTCACGGAGTGTACTAGAACCAGGGAGTACAGTCACGGAGTGTACTAGAACCAGGGAGTACAGTCACGGAGTGTACTAGAACCAGGGAGTACAGTCACGGAGTGTGATAGAACCAGGGAGTACAGTCACGAAGTGTAATAGAACCAGGGAGTACAGTCACGGAGTGTACTAGAACCAGGGAGTACCGTCACGGAGTGTAATAGAACCAGGGGGTACAGTCACGGAGTGTACTAGAACCAGGGAGTACAGTCACGGAGTGTAATAGAACCAGGGAGTAAAGTCACGGAGTGTACTAGAACCAGGGAGTACAGTCACGGAGTGTACTAGAACCAGGGAGTACAGTCACGGAGTGTAATAGAACCAGGGAGTACAGTCACGGAGTGTACTAGAACCAGGGAGTACAGTCACGGAGTGTACTAGAACCAGGGAGTACAGTCACGGAGTGTAATAGAACCAGGGAGTACAGTCACGGAGTGTAATAGAACCAGGGATTACAGTCACGGGGTGTACTAGAACCAGGGAGTACAGTCACGGAGTGTAATAGAACCAGGGGGTAAAGTCACGGAGTGTACTAGAACCAGGGGGTACAGTCACGGAGTGTAATAGAACCAGGGAGTACAGTCACGGAGTGTAATAGAACCAGGGAGTACAGTCACGGAGTGTACTAGAACCAGGGAGTACAGTCACGGAGTGTAATAGAACCAGGGAGTACAGTCACGGAGTGTGATAGAACCAGTGAGTACAGTCACGGAGTGTGATAGAACCAGGGAGTACCGTCACGGAGTGTACTAGAACCAGGGAGTAGAGTCACGAAGTGTAATAGAACCAGGGAGTACAATCACGGAGTGTACTAGAACCAGTGAGTAAAGTCACGGAGTGTAATAGAACCAGTGAGTACAGTCACGGAGTGTGATAGAACCAGGGAGTACCGTCACGGAGTGTACTAGAACCAGGGAGTAGAGTCACGAAGTGTACTAGAACCAGGGAGTACCGTCACGGAGTGTAATAGAACCAGGGAGTACCGTCACGGAGTGTAATAGAACCAGGGAGTACAGTCACGGAGTGTACTAGAACCAGGGAGTACAGTCACGGAGTGTACTAGAACCAGGGAGTACCGTCACGGAGTGTAATAGAACCAGGGAGTAAAGTCACGGAGTGTACTAGAACCAGGGAGTACCGTCACGGAGTGTACTAGGACCAGGGAGTACAGTCACGGAGTGTAATGGAACCAAGGAGTACAGTCACGGAGTGTACTAGAACCAGGGAGTACAGTCACGTAGTGTAATAGAACCAGGGAGTACAGTCACGGAGTGTACTAGAACCAGGGAGTACAGTCACGGAATGTACTAGAACCAGGGAGTACAGTCACGGAGTGTACTAGAACCAGGGAGTAGAGTCACGGAGTGTACTAGAACCAGGGAGTACAGTCACGGAGTGTACTAGAACCAGGGAGTACAGTCACGGAGTGTACTAGAACCAGGGAGTACAGTCACGGAGTGTACTAGAACCAGGGAGTACAGTCACGGAGTGTACTAGAACCAGGGAGTACAGTCACGGAGTGTACTAGAACCAGGGGGTACAGTCACGGAGTGTACTAGGACCAGGGAGTACAGTCACGGAGTGTACTAGAACCAGGGAGTACAGTCACGGAGTGTAATAGAACCAGGGGGTAAAGTCATGGAGTGTAATAGAACCAGGGGGTAAAGTCACGGAGTGTACTAGAACCAGGGAGTACAGTCACGGAGTGTACTAGAACCAGGGAGTACAGTCACGGAGTGTACTAGAACCAGTGAGTAAAGTCACGGAGTGTACTAGAACCAGGGGGTACAGTCACGGAGTGTACTAGAACCAGGGAGTACAGTCACGGAGTGTACTAGAACCAGGGGGTACAGTCACGGAGTGTACTAGAACCAGGGGGTACAGTCACGGAGTGTACTAGAACCAAGGAGCACAGTCACGGAGTGTACTAGAACCAGGGGGTACAGTCACGGAGTGTACTAGAACCAAGGGGTACAGTCACGGAGTGTACTAGAACCAGGGGGTACAGTCACGGAGTGTACTAGAACCAGGGAGTACAGTCACGGAGTGTACTAGAACCAGGGAGTACAGTCACGGAGTGTACTCCATGCACGTGGGAGCATTCCAAACGGCCCATTGATGGAACGACAACAGCTCGTGGTGTCACTCACGGCTATCGCTAAAGAGTTGAATAGGACTGTGTGGATGCAAATTATTGGATGGTATACGTGTTAAAGCGGAAGACTGTGCAGCCGATTTAAACAGAAGGTAGGAGAGTGGAGGCACCCTGCAGCACGGGACGAGCTCAAGAGGAGATCTCATTCATAATTCATACTAGTGCCACCTCGCGGCCAACATTGTCTATTTGCCGATTCACCCTCAACTACAACGCGGCCAATATGAGATTCAATCTTAGCAACTCAGAAGCTGAGAGTCTCGACAGGAGGCTGCCGAAACGTGCGAAGACGATTGCCCACAAGACCAACCCAGCCACGGCGTCTCGGTGTGACGTGGGGCACCTCATCTCAGCAAGGCGAGGAGGAGGAAGAGGAGGAAGAGGAAGAAGAAAGCTAAACAACGACGCAGTGACCAACAACCCTCCCTGTGTGTGTGTCTGTGGGTCGGCATCCAGCCGCTGGGATACACTCCGGTCGAGTGTTGTGCAGCCAGCAACACTCAACTGAACGCTGTCAAGTGATTAATATAGGATTAGTGATTGATACTTTGAGGGATTATATCGCGATAAGTGATTAATTCGTATCGCCATGATGGATGATATCGCGATAAGTGATTAATATCGTATTGCCGTGAGGGATATCGCGATAAGTGATTAATATCGTATTGCCGTGAGGGATGATATCGCGATAAGTGATTAATATCGTATCACCGTAATAGATATCGCGATAAGTGATTAATATCGTATTACCGTGAGGGATATCGCGATAAGGTATTAATATCGTATTGCCATGAGGGATGATATCGCGATAAGTGATTAATATCGTATTGCCATGAGGGATGATATCGCGATAAGTGATTGATATCGTATCGCCGTGAGGGATATCGCGATATGTGATTAATATCGTATCGCCGTGAGGGATATCGCGATAAGTGATTAATATCGTATCGCCATGAGGGATGATATTGCGATAAGTGATTGATATCGTATCGCCATGAGGGATGATATCGCGATAAGTGATTGATATCGTATCGCCATGAGGGATGATATTGCGATAAGTGATTAAAATCGTATCGCCATGAGGTATATCGCGATAAGTGATTAATATCGTATCACCGTGAGGGATGATATCGCGATAAGTGATTAATATCGTATTGCCATGAGGGATGATATCGCGATAAGTAATTAATATCGTATCGCCGTGAGGGATATCGCGACAAGTGATTAATATCGTATCACCGTAAGGGATATCGCGATGTGATTAATATCGTATCACCGTAAGGGATATCGCGATGTGATTAATATCGTATCACCGTAAGGGATATCGCGATAAGTGATTAATATCGTATCGCCGTGAGGGATATCGCGATAAGTGATTAATATCGTATCGCCATGAGGGATGATATCGCGATAAGTGATTAATATCGTATCGCCGTGAGGGATATCGCGATAAGTGATTAATATCGTATCGCCGTGAGGGATATCGCGATAAGTGATTAATATCGTATCGCCGTGAGGGATATCGCGATAAGTGATTAATATCGTATCGCCGTGAGGGATATCGCGATAAGTGATTAATATCGTATCGCCATGAGGGATGATATCGCGATAAGTGATTAATATCGTATCGCCGTGAGGGATATCGCGATAAGTGATTAATATCGTATCGCCGCGAGGGATATCGCGATAAGTGATTAATATCGTATCGCCATGAGGGATGATATCGCGATAAGTGATTAATATCGTATCGCCATGAGAGATGATATCGCGATAAGTGATTAATATCGTATCGCCATGAGGTATATCGCGATAAGTGATTAATATCGTATCACCGTGAGGGATATCGCGATAAGTGATTAATATCGTATTGCCATGACGGATGATATCGCGATAAGTGATTAATATCGTATCGCCGTGAGGGATATCGTGACAAGTGATTAATATCGTATCACCGTAAGAGATATCGCGATAAGTGATTAATATCGTATCACCGTAAGGGATATCGCGATAAGTGATTAATATCGTATCGCCGTGAGGGATATCGCGATAAGTGATTAATATCGTATCGCCATGAGGGATGATATCGCGATAAATGATTAATATCGTATCGCCGTGAGGGATATCGCGATAAGTGATTAATATCGTATCGCCGTGAGGGATATCGCGATAAGTGATTAATATCGTATGGCCGTGAGGGATATCGCGATAAGTGATTAATATCGTATCGCCGTGAGGGATATCGCGATAAGTGATTAATATCGTATCGCCGTGAGGGATATCGCGATAAGTGATTAATATCGTATCGCCGTGAGGGATATCGCGATAAGTGATTAATATCGTATCGCCATGAGGGATGATATCGCGATAAGTGATTAATCTCGTATCGCCATGAGGGATGATATCGCGATAAGTGATTAATATCGTATCGCCGTGAGGGATATCGCGATAAGTGATTAATATCGTATCGCCATGAGGGATGATATCGCGATAAGTGATTAATATCGTATCGCCGTGAGGGATATCGCGATAAGTGATTAATATCGTTTCGCGGCGACCATGATAAACATGGGGGTGATGGTTTACCGTGACAGCCAATAGCACGCCACATTTCTACCCACGTGACCAAAACTTCCACTTCCCGATTTCCCGATTCTCCGGTTTATTAGATTATTTATTCGATTCTTCGCGGGAGGCCGTTTTAGCGATTCCCCACCGACACAGCGCAACGCGGAATCGAAACGATGTGAAATTAGCAAATGGAATCGCTGCCAACGATTCAAACCCACGAACAACGTTCGTGGGTTTGAATGCGCGGCCGCGTCAGGCTGAGGGAACGCGAAGTGACGGCGAGAGGGTTTATCCTTTCCCGCCCTTTTATTGTTCGTCACAATTCATATTAATTATTCGAGGTTGTATTCTGTCGAACTTATTTTGGCATCGTACGTCGCCGGCCGTGCTAATCGGGTGTGCGGGTAAAGTTTCAACGCCTGCGTGCGGAGTGTGTGCGCGCGCGTGCGAGGTGCGTGTGGTGGTGATGAGTGCTATAGCAAGTAGGGAGACAAAGGCGGCCGTGGTGCTGGCCACCGACCGCCTCGTGTATAGGTGCTCACTAACAGCACTTGCCGCTACAGTGTGTTAACGACTATGGGGGTGGGGTATTTGTTGAGTACGATAGAGGCGGCGCGCAACCCCGATTCGTCTGCTTCCTCTCTCTCACTCGCGCGCATTTGTCTTGTTATGCAGTAATTGTTAATATTAACAGAACAACACTTCAAGTGTTATGGTTTGTGAGAGGCAAACCCTGCGTTGTCTAGTACATATCAAAGATCCCCCGTATAGCCTGAACAGACTGTTGGTACAAGTGCTGTTAGCGAGCGCCAGAACCACGCCCGGCCGCCTTTGTCTCCCCTAGTGGCGATGTTTACTGTACACCGCTACACCAGGTACTCAGGACCAGTTCGGATAATCGTCGCTGGTACAGTATTTCTAGATTTGAACTTTTCGTGACTGCAAGGATCCATACTCTTTGGTTCTTTCGGTAAAGTCACGTAGGTGAAAATTTAATCAAATAAAACAAAATGAAAACATTTTGATTTAAAGCTTTCGTGACTGCAGGGATTCATATTCTTGGTTCTTTTTGTAAAGTCACGTAGAAGGGAAACAATAAAATAAAACAAATCGCGACGTTTCTGGCGCAACACAAGCGTCCGTCATCAGGTGGGGACAACCACAGCGAAAAAACAATCGCTGAACTATGTTTAAGAACAGCTTGTGTTGCGCCCGAAACGTGATTTAGTTTTCATTTTTGTTTTATTTTATCTGATTTTTACCTACGTGACTTTACCGAAAGAACCAAAGAGTGGTACAGTATTGACCGTGAGCGGGAATCGAACTGAGTATCGTCCTCTATAACCCTTTTAAGAACAGCAATATCATTTATTAACCTGGAAAGCTTCACGGAGTCTTAAGACTAATTTTCAGGAGGGTGATGTGCGTCTGGTGTGCGTGTGTAAAGTGTAGTGAGCGCACCGGGCATCTGAAATCGATTCTCTGTCACGACTAACATCAGTGGCGAATTATATCTGAAATTGCCCTGGGTTTTCCGCTTCACAATCCCGCACTGACCAGCATAGTGATGTATGATTTAAAAAAACCCAACCTCCATGACTGACACAGCTTGAGGAGATCGTCATCTGGCAGCTGATTTACAAAGGGCTGTAAATTACACCTGTCCTGGGCCTCTCCTATCAATCGACTCACCATTTCTAGATTTGAAGCTTTCGTGACTGCAAGGATTCATACGCTTTGGTTTTATTCGGTAAAGTCACGTAGATAAAATAAAAGAAAATAATTAAATTATTTTGCTTTATTTTATCTACGTGACTTTACCGAATAAAACCAAAGAGTATGACTCACCATTTATCAAGTGCGCTGGGGAGACGAAGGCGGCCGGGCACTGACCACACCACATTCATGTGCGCCGTGACAGAATTAGTCCGCGTGACTACATGTAATGTCCTGGTCGTTGCTCTTGGCCGTAGGTGTGACGGGCGATGTCTCAGAAACGGAAGACGAGCAGCGACCGTCGAGATGCGGCCAGAAAGGTCCGCCGTGTGCTGGAGGAAGACGAAGAAGACGACGAAGAGCGGGTGGTCAGCCACGGAAAGTCAGCCGAGCCACGTGGACCCTCCCACAATGAGACGCAGGTGTGGGACAAGAGCTGTTCTCGGCACCACTGGTCTTAAACCCTCATCCCATAACTTCAAGCATAACCCCTAAACCAGGAGTGGCCAATATGTGGATTGCAAAATATACATTTTTATCCAGTTACATATAAAGTGGCTTCCCTCATAACAAAAAAATGCTTGGGAATTACAGGGTTAAATCTGGGTAATTGATGGTAATTTATTAGGAAGCCACTGGAGCGATGCACTTTTAAATCTAGATTGAAAACGAATTTCTTTAGAACTGCTTTCCGTTTAGTTTGTTCTTCCCCCGCACCTCCAATTAGCACGGTTGGCTATGTATGGTGCAAAAGAAGTTTAACATACATAAATCAGGTGGATCGCGTAGCCAGTAGAGATCCATAAAAATGAATCCGTGCTTGGTGTATTGGCCACCACTGCCTGAAACTCTAACCCAAAGATTAATCTCTCAACCTGGCGACCTAAAACAGTGGTTCCCAAGTTTTGTTGACTCGCGCAGTACTTCATATTCTTAGTTTTTTCGGTAAAGTCACGTTGAAGAGAAACAACAAAATAATAAAATATATAAAAGCAATAAAAAATATATTTTATTATTTTGTTGTTTCTCTTCAACGTGACTTTACCGAAAAAACTAAGAATATGAATTACTGCAGTCACGAAAGCTTTAAATCAAAATTTAATCGCGCAGTACTGTCAACCCTCCGTTTATTTTCCTGGGCCGCCATCCAATAACATTCCTTTAATTAAAACAATCGTATCTGCAACAGTTCTTTGGGCCACTTCACACAGCGTTGTGCAACTACCAGTGGTCTGCAAACCATAGGTTGGGAACCATTGCCCTAAATGCTATTTTATGCTTGCATATGGCAATATTTAGATGCTAAATGCCAATATTGATCGGTTTCTAGCCCTTAAGGCCTTTTTCGGCTTTTAACTCAAATGATTATATTTGGATCCAATTTAATAACGTCCATTTCACCTGATGGTATTAATTGTGTTTAAGGTAATATGAAACGTGACAGGTGGGTTGCGAAAAGTTCTTGGTATAAAGCCTATTCCTTAACTTTCAATTAAGCCCTCAACATCACATCGCTAGCCCTTAATCTATGACCATAAAGCCTAAACTATGAGAATAGGTTTTCCCCTTTTTTCTGGCAACAAAACAGGTGTTGAGATGTTAAACCTCCAAACTGAAACCTTTTTACAAGGAATCATGTCTGTGTTAACCACAATACTTGTGGTCAGAATGCATTTAACATTTCAACACCTATTTTGTTGCCGAAAAAAGGGGAAAACCTATTCTTATATTTTGGTACTGGCAAAGGAGGTCCCATGATAAAGCCTAAACTGTAAACCTGTCATGGCATGGAGAGGCCTTTATTCAATGGTGAATTGGGAATGACAGGGATATATGAACTTGTAATAGTGTACATTTTTCAGTATGCCAGACATCCCCCATAAAAAGAAAGGCTGTTCCTGAAATAAGTCCAACTTTGAGGGCTTTTATTGTACTGAAAAATAATGTGATGTGTCCAACACCATTCACGATGAGCAGAAGTCTGATGTTTACTGTTGTTAAACTCTTTATTATTCATAGCCTTGAAGTGTTTGCACAACTAAAAATGTGATGTGCAAAATTACACCCTAAACTGTCGACTAATTGCTAAAATGGAGTTGTATTGATCATAAGTAAGAATAGATGCTTGTGTCAAGAGTGTAAGAAATTGTGCCATTTTGTGTCCAACTAATAACGAAGGCGATTTTGTTTTCAGGTGAAGCCAGACTGCGGTGTCATTGAAGCATTAACGCTTAAGAACTTCATGTGCCATTCATTGCTTGGTCCATTCAAATTTGGACCCAATTTAAATTTTGTCACCGGTAATAATGGCAGTAAGTATTTTCACACATTCAGTGAATCTGTATCATGTAATTATTTAATTTCCAGCAGATAAATTATCAGGCAATATCAGCTGGTAAAGTCTTTTAAGTTAAGCAGCTCTTTCACAAGGATGACCGCAACCCTAGACCGTCAGCAGTGGTGGCAGTTACAGGACATTGTAGGGAGAAATTTGCTAACAAACAAGAGGAAAAAACTTTTGACATTTGTTTCATGTAAATAATGCTGCAAACGGAATAAATATTAAATAGTGCTCAAATACAAATAAAAAACAAAAAAAAACCCTGTCAGATGTATGTATGTAATATTTATATCCTGCCTTGGACATAATTTCGCTGTAGCATTTGTAATTGTGGCTGAGGTTATCCAGCAGCATGGCCTATTATATGAAAGAAGGTACATTTGTAATATTAAAACTATTACGAGGACAAATTAGTATCACTGTGTTGAAATACAAGTGATAGAGGATGATTGTTTCAGTCAATTAATAGTTCACTAAATTCAAGCTGAAATTTTATATTTTAAATATCAGTTTAAGCTTAATATCTTTAAATGAACAGATATGTACTGTATTCTCCGCATTAAATAAATCACTTTTTTCCAGTATTGTAAAACACAAGTTGGGAGTCTGTTAAAATCTGTTTGGGGTGTGTGACCAGATTTGTATAACGTGTGACGCCTTGCACATGTTTCAAGTGTATCTTGCTGCAATATTCTCTACATTGCAAGCAGCCAGCAACAAACAGCACTATCAAAGTTGTCATAGATAAGAGTTAACACATTTTTTTAATTGAGGGAAGAAGCAGAAATAAAAGTGTCTGAGTTTTATGGTGGTTGAACACAGTGCATGAGATTAAACAGTCTTGTAGACCAAGGATTCAGTACGGGTGGAGGAATCAACGAGTGAAATTCATGGGAGCAGAAACCATGGTAGTCGTGATAAACGAATCATAAGGAGGTGACTGGCCGAAGGTGAGAGTGACTAGAGTGATTTAATGATCCCTGGATCATCAATCACCCTCACTGTATTATGTCAAAAGCTATAGAATAGAGTAAGGTAAGAAATTATTACTGGTGTGATTTTTTTTCCCCAATAATTATTATTGTAAGTCAAAGTGGTTTGATGTAGCGTGAGTGCTGATAAGACGTGCTCTCTGTGACTTCTACGTCCTTAGGTGGTAAGAGTGCTGTACTCACAGCACTTATCGTGGGGCTGGGAGGCAAAGCGCTCCTCACAAGCAGAGGTTCCTCCGTTAAAACCTTCATAAAGCACGGACAGAGGTACCGATACATAATCTCTTGCACCACTGGCATGCCCCCTCAATAAAATGGAAATACATGGTTCTTAACCCATAATAAAACCTTGATTTCACAATTGTACTATGTAACGTAGTCTTCAACAATTAGTCAAATACACTTAGACCTCGCTTAGTGCTCAAGATGTGTTCCTGGAGAAGTTAGCGCTCATTAAATCGGTGCTAAAAGGGGTCATTATACCATTGTCTATATGGGGATGCGTTCCTGACGGCATTATTTATTACATGTGAGCAATATATGAGAGCTTCGGTGGGGTATCAGTAAGCAAGTTCTGCCTGTATTTCGGTATTCCAGCCAAGCACTTGAATGTTTAGCATTAGTTTGTGATTACGCTTTTTCCAACAGTTCAATCAATAATCACAGGGGAAATGGGTATGGACTAGGGTGAAAAGTAACAGGGGAGGGAAATCGCTGACAACGCATAAAAGGTGCACAGCAATGTGCCAAGTTTCAAGAATATTAGTTCTAACAGGTGAGAACTCAAAAGACCAACATAAGCCTCATTTGCAAGGGTGACTGGGGTCACCAAAGTGACGAAAGTCCAGTAAGAAAGCAAATGGAAATGAGACCCAAAGCAATGGTGTCACGTGAGAAATAGAAAATATTGCACACCCAAATTAGAGTTGAATAATAATTTGGCTTGGGCAAAATCTTTTAAGACTGGTCATAGTACAATTACAATTAAGTTTCAGAAACATAAAATAGTAATAGAGTGAATTGTATTAATATCTAAACAGACGAATATATACTAGTTAAAAGCAATTGCAAATTAAGTTATAAAGAAGCGAAAATTTAGCATCCAATCGTGATTTATCTGAGAGAGTAACTTAGGATATTTTTTTAAGCACTGGAATTCCAGGTTTTGGAGCATAAACAGATTGGGTGAGAACCATGTGTGGTGTATTGCCTTGATGCAATGCACTTTGGGTGTTGTGGGGTGTCTTAAGATTTTAGTCCTCAATAAACATTGAATAGGCAAGGAACTGAATTATGTGTGTGTGCAATAAAGACAAACTTGGTTAAATGTGTCTCCCTCTGAGTTGAAATAGCGTGAAAACCGGCCTCAGTTGAGCTCACAATTATGAGTGGAATAGTTTATTTGTAAGATAAGGCAGTGAGTCCAAGCAGTTATATTATACAGTGGATTGACGTGTTCATGTTGAGCTGTGTTTGTTTGTTCTATGTTAAACAGTTCTGCAGACATCTCCATAACACTGCGGAATGTTGGGGACGACCCGTATAAGCATGACCAGTATGGAGACTCCATCATCATTGACAATCACATAAGTTGTGACGGACAGCGGTACAAACTGAAGAGCAAATCTGGTACGCTCCTTACATCATGCATTTCTTCCCTCTGAAGTGTCTATAGCAAGCTGTCTCACTTCATCAAGCAGACTTGAATCCTGTCCTTTGGGAAGGATGCATATTAATTATTAATCCTCTGGATAAGAATTGGGCATATTTTTTATACTCTTTGGTTCTTTCGGTAAAGTCACGTAGGTAGAAATAAAACAATAAATCACGTTTCGAACGCAACACAAGCGCCCGTCTTCAGGTGAAAATCGCGATAGCCGCGATGTCTGCTGCGAGCAGCACAAGGCAGCAGACATCGTGGCTATCGTGATTTTCACCTGCAGACGGGCGCTTGCATTGCGTTTGAAACGTCGTGATTTATTTTGTTTTATTTCTACCTACGTGACTTTACCGAAAGAACCAAAGAGTATGGATTTCTGCAGTTACGAAAGCTTCAAATCATATTCTTTTTACTTTGCTGGCATGTTATTTTATACTCCACATTATAACATCATGAGAAACCCCATTAACTTCATGAAACTTGATTTTAATACTGACATCATTGAACATGTTTCAGAACCTCCAAAATATGTATTTTACTTTTGATTCTTTTTTGCAGGAAGAATTGTGAGCACAAAAAAAGAAGAACTTACCACTATTTTGGATCATTTCAATATTCAGGTTTGTCAGTAAAATGAACAATAAAATTTGTTAACAGTAAATGCAGGTATTATTCTGTAATTGTTCCCATTACAAAGAGCGGCTGTGGGATATTATCGTCTTATGACAAGAGCCAACCATATTTTCCAATTTTAATAGCTTTTGAATAATTTATTGGCATAAAATGTTTGGTGTCTGGTTTTTCCGTGACAATAAAAAACTATTTTATTTAGGTGGATAATCCTGTTTCCATACTCAACCAAGAAATGAGCAAGCAATTTCTTCATTCAAAGGATGAACATGATAAGTACAAGGTAATTAGGATGTGTTTGAAGTCTACCTGCTGGATATTTTTGGCACCAAAACGTTTTTCTTTGCTGGAAAACATGTATCGTGTTACACATGGGTAAAAAAACATGGTTGCATTCAACCACATTTTTAATTACGAGGAGTTGCTAATTGCTGTAATTGGTTTAATGCACCTTGTAAATTATATTTTCAGTTTTTTATGAAGGCCACTCATTTGGAGCAGATGCAAAATGACTATCAGCAGATCATGGAAACGAAGAAAATCACCGAAGAAAAACTGTGTCGGCAGGAAGGCGTATGTAACCATTAAACCCATGCATTAAAATAAGTTTATCGACACATAAACACAGTTATACAAATGCCCTCATTTACCTATTAACATGTACAAATGTGCACACAATAACAGGTTATGTATGTGGTGTGGAGATGAATGCTTTATTTCGTTTTTCTAAATTATATTCCAATTGTGTTATCAATGTTATGTCATTATATTAAGACATTTTCATTCACAATGTTTGTAGTAAACTGTAATGGCACTCAAGTGAATGCCAAACTTTTTATAGTTCTGAGTATTCGCCCAATATCAGAGGGGCAACGGCTTCTAGAACTAGCTCACTACCTCTAGAACTCTTTTCTGTGTTATGTAAAGGAATGTTAGAAAAATCAAATGTTTATAATAACAATTTTAAAAGTTTTTTAGTTATTTTATTTTTCAGTTTGAGTTTTTATTGTAAAGTCTCCTGCCATGCTCCGCATGCATAGCGCTACATAAAAGCAAACTGTATTATTTGAGAAAATTACCATTGTAAAATTACATCACAGAGCTAATTATGACGTTTCTTAATATTTATCTTATTCACAACAGGTGGTGGTGCACCTTTAAACATAGTTTGCTACAGAAGTGTTCATCCCATGGCAATCAAACCAAATCTCTACTTTATGAGGCGGAATATTCCAAATTCAGTGAAAAGCGACATTTAATATGGTGCTTTGTGCATTCCGAAGTGAACAGGCTGAGAAGATTAACTCGCTACACTTAAGATGCCAATTTGATTACAGATTTGACTTGAGGATCTCGGCAGTGGTGGCTCTGCTCTTAACACTGTATTAGCCCCCTCAGCCAGTTTTCAACATGAATGTCCTTAAGCTATACAGTTATTTTTTTCTTATCTGCTGACATGTTTCCGACTGCTGTGTGGTGTCTAGAGCTTACGTGACCTATCAAAGGTGGTCAGGGAGAAGCAGAAGAAATTTCAGAGAATTGCCAACATGCAGGATCTCGAGCGTTACATCATGGAACTACAGAATCAACTTGCCTGGGCTGAGGCCAGTCCTGCAAATTATTGTTATTTGTACCCACTCATTGCATATTTTTAATGCAGTGCATGAAGCAGGCTATAGCCTGTTACAAGCGGACCTTGAGTTACACCTTGTACGTGCGTTTAGACATGTGTTAATTTGAATTGAATCCATTGTAAACAACCTACACAATGTATTATGTCTAAGGTACACACTGTCTGATTATCACTCTGACTTGCAGGTTCGGGACAAAGAGGTTACCCTGAAGACTCTGCAGGATCAGCTGAGGATGGAGGAGAATCGAACCGTAAAATTTGACCAGAATGTGGAAGAACACCAGGTAACTGGCACTGGTTGACGGTGCAGCAATCTTTAATCCTTCACGTGTAAACTTCAAAATGTGAATTAATGTGCTACAAAAGCACATCATTCTACTCCGTGGGAAAATTATTGTACATTGTCAGTATTCCCATTAAATTCTTGGTTCTTTCGGTAAAGTCACGTAGTACACAAGTAAAATAAAGTATTCCCATTGTGTTTGTGTCCAGAATCCACATTTTGTGCACTGCCTAAAGAGTCAGAAAGGTAATGGATTCTTTATGTGATCCAGCTGTGGCTCCAAGTAGACAATTGGCCACGTGGCATGTCCTCACTTCGCTCTCACTTTTGTTGTGTTTGCCCATTCATGTGGCAACAGAAAAAGCTTCAAGCAGCCGAGTTGAAGTACAAAAGCTTTGAAGATCAGCTAAATCAGCTGAAAAACGATCTTGAACTGTTCATGGAGCAGAATGTGGAAGGCAAACGCAACCTGGATGCAAAGAAGAGCGCTGTGAAAACACAGAAGGTGAATGGGCATCGACCCCTTGGATACCATCCCAGAACAAACCATAACAATCAAACTTTTTGTGTGTACATGCTCATAGATTAATTGGATAATTACTTATGGTATAAACAAAATCTTGACTTGAAGCTATTGTGACTGCAGGAATTCATACTCTTTGGGTCTTTCGGTAAAGTCACGTAGATAGAATTTTTTTTTTTAAATCACGACGTTTCGATCGCAACACAAGCAATCGTCTTCGGGTGAACTGCTGAGGCAGGAGAAATATAGCGGGAGAGCTTCTGCATCAACAGGTTATATAGGTTTGAGATGGGTGTAACCCAAGGGTAAGTGGGTGGGTCTAGAGATGGAATTTACATGTAAATGTAAGATCGGAGAGCCTGATATACCTCACCACTACGGTGCTGAAGAGGCGTCCATTGTATTGCTTGAGATTAGCATGTCAATCTGTAATTTGCATGTAAACGACTGCGGTCGTGAGGTATATCAGGCTCTCCGATCTTACATTTACATGTAAATTCTATCTAGCCCCGTCCACTTACCCTTGGGTTGCACCCATCTCAAATCTATATAACCTCTTGCTGCAGCAGCTCTCCCGCTATATTTCTCCTGCCTCAGCAGTTCGCCTACTGTATTTTTTCACCTGAAGACGATTGCTTGTGTTGCGATCGAAACGTAATTTTTTATTATTATTTTTCTATCTACATGACTTTACCAAAAGACCCAAAGAGTATAAACAAAACCCTTATTTCTAGTTTCATCACTGCTGGATGAAAGCTTCCCCAAGCTGTTCCCATCCACCTCATATCTACGCACCAACTGATTTAATTGCTCCTCTTGAACGTATTCCATTCCTTAACAGCCACTCCATTACTGTCCTTGACCATCGGCCATCATGCCTTGTGATGTGCCTTGCCGAAGCTGTTTTTCTTAACTGTTTGATTGATGTGATGTTGCCTGCATATGTTCTAAAATCAATGTGCTAAGAATCATGTGTTTGACGCAGAGAAATCATATATGTTTCAGGCATTGGTGGACTCTTTACAGAACCAGCTAAGGGTTATTGAAAAGGATTGTGACAAACTGGCCAAGCACATCGATGAGCTCAAAAACAGGTGGACATGTGTTGCATACACCCCACTCAACAATGTCTCGCTTTGAAACACGACCTAGCAAACACGCATGTGTATATGCAGACGTTAAACCACAAAGTGGCGCATACCTACTATAATCACCCAGGAATGTCCTTAACGCTTGTGACGTCACTCCACATCGACCAGTCCCCCTCACTAATAATCATGAGCAAGTGACATCACTTCACATCGAACAGCCCCTTTAATTATGAGCAGCTGACGTCCTCCAAATGGACACCCCCCCATTACCTACTATAATGAGCCAAGAATGTCTGTGCAATGCTCGTGACGTCACTCCACGTCGACCAGCCTCCCTCAATAATAAGGTCGAGGCTCCTCCCCCCTCAGCGTCAACTTACAACCCTCACTACAAAGGCGTCACGCGTACGTCACGCGATCTCTGTAAAGCTATTGAGACATCAAAGTAAAAAAGGACGTCATGGATGAACAAGGGATTATAACCTTAAAATTAAATAGGTCTGTTTCACCGCACCCTTACAAATTGCACATGCATTAATGCAATCAATATCATGTCGCGGTCTGATTATTGTTTAAAAGTTTGAGATTTACTGCAATACACCCGTCCTTGGACGGGCAAAAGGCTAGTATGTTGGAAATACGCATGAGTAAAAAGTATGCTTTACGACTGCCATCAGAATTTTTCCGAATCAGAACTACAGTGGCTCATCGATTATAACCGGGGGAGGGGAAGGGGGTGGCAGGTTTTCCAAAATGGCGAATAATCACAACATTATTTAAAATACCTTATTTTTGCACGTTATTGTATCATTGTGTGTGTGTTTGCATTGGTGTTATGTTTTTTAGTGTTTCACATTTGTTTACTATATGAAATTTGCATAAATAATCATACAAATAGACTAAAAATAAATATATTGTAAAAAGTTACTGTATTTACTGTACGTACCACTCCAATCTCTAAGACTGCATGGGGTGATGTACGTACGCTCTTGTTTCAACAACATGTATTTGATGATTGCCGGACTGATACAGCCTTTAGACCAGTGCTCCGGCGAATGCCGAATGACACACTTTTCGGCGGATCACACTGTATATTTTCAGTTTTTATTACTGTAGTTATTAGTCATGAAAAATGTATGTACGTTCAGTATTTTCATTGTTTAAGTTGTATGTAGTGTATAATGTTCTGTGGAAAATATTTGACACTAAAATCAAGCATAGCTACTTTTTTTGTCATGCACATGGTGGCAATCGCCGGACTGGTAAAGCCTTTGGAATGGTTTTGCCGGTTTCGCCAAATCAGCCCGGGGCCGCCGGATAATGATGGAAGCCGTATAATCACGCGCCAGATAATCGATGATCAACTGCACTTACAAAACAGTGACTTTGTTGTGTTCAACGTCAATGTCTAGAAATGGTCATTCATATCAGCACCTGTCTTGTAAAACAAACTGAATTGTGCAGACGGCACAATGGTAGTGCACCTTGTCGAGACATGGCTGTTAGACGTGCATGTTTCTCTCTGCCAGTACGGAGCAGCAGTTGACGGAAGCGGAGCGAGCGGAAAGGGCCCGGAGAGTGCTATCACTCAAGGAGGAGCTGACAGACTTAAAGGCCCAGGATGACACGCTGATCCAGCAAATCGAGCACTTTAAGCAGGCCATCAACAAGCAGAAGGAGGACTCCTACAAGCTCCGGTGAGTGCTGTGGTTCTTCGGTGGTGACCGTTGTGTTTGCAGGATTGTTACAATAGCGTGCATGATACAACGGGAGTGGATTCTTACTCGCTGCATTTTCTCCTGCTTAGCTGAATAATTACCATTGGTGTTGTTGTGTGTGTGTGCATTGGTGTTATTGTATCAGTTTGTCTCTGCTTTTGCTATAGTAATTATATAAAGAATTCATCACCATCTCAGTTGATGCCATATATGGATACTTTATCACAATTTGGCTCATGTACAGGTTCTAGTTGGATTGTTACATCGCAGGATCTTGCGAGATGGGAATGGCTCATGTGCAGCTTTGTATTGTTTATAGACTGTATGTTGGAGAAGTTAACATCGATGTTTCTTGACAGAAATTGTTTTTAAAGAACTCAGATTTTCTGAAGACATAGTCATTGTAACACCTTATGGGTAAAACCTACAGAGAATGTTGGAGGAACTTAATAATAAAAAAGACTACTGCAAAATTGAGCTCAAAATAAAAATGAGAAAAACAAATGAGAATAGGTTTTCCCCTTTTTACTGGCAACAAAACAGGTGTTAAGATGTAAAAAATACCAAACTGAAATATTTTACAAGGAATCATGTCTGCATTAACCACAATACTTGTGGTCAGAATGCAAACAAAAACATACTCTAATATGCATTGTCTTTGAAACTGATTGGTCCACAACAGAAACAGCTTTCTTTTGAGCCTAGTCTCAAACGGTGTTATACCAAAGAACGCCAAAAGGCGTAGCAAACAAATGTTAACGTTGAACACGTTTGCTAAACAAAATGAGAAATCTGTTGAAGGGACATGACTGGAATACGTATAAGAGTATGTATACCAAGGACTGCTATTGAAAGTGACCAAGACCACAGTAATGCCATTACATTATGGTCAAATCTATATTATACATTTCCAAAGCTAGGATTTAGCCATATTAAGTGCCAAACCAATTTTGATACTATGTTTATTTCGTGAGTTCATTGGTGATTGAGCTGAAACCATCGACTTGCTAAACCCGAGTACCAAGTTTATTCAGGTGCGGTTTCCTGAATATGAACCATAGATCTCAGGGCTGGCAGCTCAGCGTTCTGACTACTGAGTCACCTCATTACCTCTGTACTGTGCCAGCCTTAATAGGTGCTTGCATACAGCACTTGCCCCGAACATTCTATGTAGGCTGCAAAAGGGATTGTCTGAATATTTTTGCGTGCATTTACAGACGAGAGTACCAGGACCAAAAGCGTAGCGTTGACGCTGCAGAAAAGCGGCTGCAGCAGCTGGCCGCCAGTCGCACAGAGAACCTCAGTCGCTTCAACACGAAGTTCCCAGAGTTGCTACAAAAGATCGAGAATGCATATCAGGCTGGGAAGTTCCATCAAAAACCCATTGGCCCCATCGGTAAGCAATATACAAGTGATCCTCACACTGCCTGTCACTAGACCACTCCCAGCAGAATGCATTCACACATGATGGAGAGTTAATCATCATGAGGCGCAAATGCCTTGGGGCATAGCAACCCCCATGAGATACCACCAGGTTATCCTACCCTGTGTTCGCCACCACGCTGAGTGCAGGCCAAGGCCATGGTGGTGAAAATCAACCTCAGGAGTGCGTGTCCGTGTCATCCGGGGTTGTCTTCAATCCCGTGGTGGGCCGTCACCAATTCGGTGGTGGGTCGTCGCCAATTCGGTAGTGGGCCGTCGATGATCGTGCGCAGGTCTCTGGTGTGACCTGCAGAGGCATCCGCCCGTTGAGTGTGTCTGAAGAACCAAAGTCTTCTGGGTCTGATCGTGTCAGATACTGATGGGGCACCCTGTGGAAAGGCAGACCTCGGCGTTGGTGATGTGCTCGATGAAGTGAATGCGGAGTATCGGTCGCTGGGACCACTGGTCGAATGGGCCCAGTTTCTAGTTCAGTGATGCTGTCGTTGACCACGTCTCTGAGCCACAGAGTAGTACAGGAAGGATGTTCACATTGTAGAGGTGGACCGTTGTTTATGCTATTGTAATGCTGAAGCACCCGATGTATTTTGTTGAGCTGTTTTATACACTCGGGTGTAATTGACTCGCATTTTTTTTCTGCTTCGCTACTTCCAGTATGTTGCAAATTACAACCGAGATAAATTAACGAATTTACTACTACAATTGGTACCTGCTATTTGCACTTTAGTTAATTCGAGTGGCTTCTCATCAGGAACAATTATCTGTTCATGTCGATGCATTTAAAGAAAAAAATGTATGTGGAAATTTGCAATCCTGCCCATAATGATGAAGTTTTAAAATTAAACTGTCCTATATTGATGTTGGAAATTGGTTCATCTCTTCAGCCGAGCTAATTTACCCCTGACATTCTTGAAATCTCACCGCTCATTGTGCCGAAGCATTGTCCCCCATTCCTGTCAGCCACTGCTGCCTGAAAGAGGTGAGAGTACAGTGCCTGATCCACTATTTTGTTTTGCCCGACACGGGACAGGTGCGTTTATTAAGGCTCGAGACCCGGAGCTGGCACTGGCCTTGGAGAGCTGCCTCAAGGGGTTACTGTTGGCCTTCTGCTGCGGTCACTCATCTGACGTGGTCATTTTGGAGAAGCTCATGCAAGGCCTCTTCCAGGGTTGGCGACCACAAATCATCTGCGTGAAATTCCAAAACCAGCTACATGACACCAGAGCCAGGTGCCGTTCCACCATTCTCACAAACACGCTGGCAGACAAGCTTAGTGGTGCTTGCTTGCCTCTAGGATTGCCGCAACCTAACTTTTTATGGCACAATGCGTTATCCATTTTCACAATATAGCAATTATTTCTCTATCAGAATAAGAATATTGTTTTAGACTGGAAGAATCTGATGAGCTTTAAAGCTCTTTTCACAGATATCTGTTTCACATAACCATGTAATTGTATTCCACATTTTATTGTTGTTGTGCATTGCTGTATTTGTAATACAAATAGACTACTCTAAACTATGCAACTGCAGTTCACTGAACATATACCTGCCATTATTATTTATAATTGTTATCATATATAATGCTTTTAACACATACTGTCAGTTATACTAACATGTGAAAATGATGAAATTTACTCTGTGAATGCCGTTCATTAATCCAAAAAATGTTTAGCAAAGCACTAACTTTTAATTGCAGAGTTTGATAGTTCATGAATATTTTACTCAGCAATAACTTATTTAAGACATTAAATGAGCAGAAATCACCATTTAACGATATTTTTAAAACGGATGATACAATTATCATGGATTTTATATTGTACGATATGTTGTATCGCTATACCGCAGCAAACTATCCTTGCCAGTGACATGCAGTTGTGCTTTTAATGCAAGCCCATGTGGTGGGGTGTTACCGCAGGGCTGTGAGGCATCCCATATACTCTTCTGTGTTGGAGAGCCTGGAAATAGAGAAACCATTCGTGGCAAACATCTTGATAGACCATCGTGGAATCGAGTCCATTCTACTCATAAAGGTAAGAGGCCTGCATTTAAAAATGTGGAGAATGGTCAGGTACTCTTGAAAGTCTTTGCCTTTGCTCAAAATTGTCCTGTTGTAGAGTCAAGTAAAGCTGGGGCAATATAATTTAGAGACCTGCCAATAATTAATTCTATAAGTGAATTAATGTCAATGTATAAAGTATGTTTACTATATAGTCACTCCTGGCTTAACATTTCGGTTGCATTCCTGGAAAATGCGACTTTAAGTGATCAACATTAAGCGAAACCGATTTTCCCATAAGAAACAATGTAAATAGGGGAGGTTATGTTCCTGAGAAATTTCCTATCACGTGACATAAACTTTCTTCACATACATATTTAATAGAAAATGTAATAATAACACTGCTGATTAACTCTAGCTATACGTCTGGAAAAGGTTAGTTTAGGTTAACCCTCACTAGTGTGTGCTATGAAAAAGGGCTACTGCCCAAAACATCTCTGATATAGTTTTATTTTCAGGCCACACACAGTTTGTATCATTAACAAATGCATTGAGTTTACATTTTTTGGAGAATTCATCTCAGGTCAGCCCGGTTCGTAGCGCAGTTCGCTAACCACTGCACCAAAGACACAGATCCCCCTGCAGCCTTTAACAAACTAGGGGCAAGTGAAGTTAGCAAGTAGCATCTATGAAGGCCGCCACTACCTCTTTTTTACCATCGCTTTTTTCAAACCTTTGGGGAGTGTGTTGCAGTCCCATTTTCTCAGTTAAATATGTGAGCCCCTTTTGATGAGTACATTATTATACACCAGTTATTTTAAGCATTTTAACATGTAGGTTTTCACGACCAATATCCATAATAGAGGTTTTTTTTGTTTAGAACGCATAAATATATAAATGTGTCGTTAAAACCCGCCACCACCCAACACAGCCAACTAGTAAGGGTTGTCACGTAAACAGAACATGCCAATTCGTCACTAGTACAGCACACCTGTGTGTTGGAGAGCGAAGCCACAACATTTACAATGAGTACAACGTTTCGCCAGTAATTCCAGCTAGCTTCATTAGGCGACAGCTAGATTTGTGGAGAAGTCAACCTGTTTCGTTCCTTATATAGATGCATAGATATGGTGATCAAAGGGCTCGCATTATGCGAGCCCTTTGATCGTGTCCTTCCTGTCCATTGTGTGTATTAAAATATTAAAATAAGCATGTTTTCATAATTTTTCTTTTGAACATATGAATCTTTTGTACACGTCAGTTTTGGAAAAGAATGAACACATCGTCATGCCTTTATTAAATTAAGGAGAACAGCTAACCCATTCCGACATGCTTCAAGGTTAAAATTCAATGTGTGAGTAATATTTAATCCACCTAAGGTTTGTAGTTTAGTTTATTTGAAAAATGCTTCATTAAAATAAATAGGCTGCATTCTCGACTTTTATCGCTGTTTGTAGAATGTTTTACACCTTATTTAATTGTTCCGATTTCCTGGAGGTGTTTGGCTGTATGTAGGCTTAGACTTAGAACAGAGCAAATGTGCAGTGCAGCCTGAAGTGATCATGCATACGTGAAGATTTCTGAAACATTTCATAATTTGCTTCGACTTCAAAGCCCACTGGCTCTCAGGTGGCCATTAAGTGGCTTTGTGATCCTTTCATTATGGACTTTTGAGTGTCATTCCCTCGTTCTTGTGGATTTTATCCGGTTGCTCCGTTACTTCCCCTGTACCACACATTTATAGAAAGGAGCCAATTTCCTGAAAATGTTATTGAAGCTTACCTGAGTAAATGACATAATTAACAGCAATAGCAGGTAGAGTCACATTCTCCACTTTGCAGGAAAACGCCACCGCCCGCCAAGTGATGCAAAGTGATGTGCCACCCAAGAATTGCAGGGAAGCCTTCACCAAGAACGGTGACCAGGTGTTCGCCGACCGATACTACTCGTGTGCTTTTTTTAATCCAAAATACCTCCACGAAGACATTGAAAAGGAGGTCAGGTACGTGTGCTTGCAGTCGGGGTAATGTTTCCCAAGTGTCACTTCATTGCTTGCAGAGTGCACAGTGGCACCAAGTATGCTAGGCTTAAATCTTGACTTAAAGCTTTCGTGACTGCAGGAATTCATATTCTTTGGGTCTTTTGGTAAAGTCACTTAGGTTGAAATAAAATAACAAAAAGCTACGACGTTTCGATCGCAACACAAGCTATCGTCATCAGCACGAAAGACCCAAAGAATATGCTATGTTTTTTTTAAATATTTAAACTAGCCAGTGTATTTGTTTATCCTTGGAATGCATTCTTTGTGCTTGCACAACACCATCTACAAAGGGTTTCCACTAGGGTTGCTACGATATCACCTCTCACCATATGCTTTATTAATGTTTATAATATATTTCCCATAACTTAGTTATATTTAAAAAAAATGTATTTTTGCTGTTTGCTTCCAGTAGGAATAAATATTTACTTAAAAGTTCAACTGCAGGTTACTCATGATACAGGTTTTTTGGGTTAGATCGCATAAATATATAAAGGTGTTGTTAAACCCGCCACCATCAGACAGTCAATTGGTAAGGTTTGTCACAAAAACAGAACATGCAAATTCCTTATTTGTACAGCACACCAGTGTGTTGGAGAGCAAAACCACAACATTTACAATCTGAGTACGACGTTTCGCCAGTACAGTAAAACCTTGGATTGCAAGCATAATTCGTTCCGGAAACGTGTTTTGTAATCCAAAGCACTCGTATATCAAAGCACTCGTATATCAGTTGTGATCACGTGACGCTCGGCAGACAAAGCGTATACGTACAACTCGTATTGCAAGACCTCGCTCGTTTATCAAATTAATACTTATTTTAAAAATTTGCTCGTCTTGCAAAACACTCGCAGACCAAGTTACTTGTAATCCAAGGTTTTACTGTCATTACAACTGTAGTGTCTTCAAAAATTACTCACACCGACACGTTGTAACAAGTCACCTGCTTACACTTTATTCACCTGTTCTTGCACCAGTTATAGGCACTCCTATAACTATTTGTACGGTTATATATACTTAACTTCTCCCCGCTATTATCTATTCTGCACCTCACTTATCCTGCACTCAGCAGCTGTGCTCTCAGCGACTCCACACACAGCAGCTTTGCACCCAGCGACTCCGCACACAGTGTCTCCGCACTCAGCGACTCCACACACAGCGTCTTCGCACCCAGCGACTCCACACACAGCGTCTCCGCACTCAGCGACATCCGCACACAGCGTCTTCGCACTCAGCGACTCCGAAAACAGCGTCATCGCACTCAGCGACTCCGCACACAGTGTCTTGGCACCCAGCGACTCCGCACACAGCGTCTTCGCACTCAGCGACTCCGCACACAGTGTCTTGGCACCCAGCGACTCCGCACACAGCGTCTTCGCACCCAGCGACTCCGCACACAGCATCTTCGCACCCAGCGACTCCACACACAGCGTCTCCGCACTCAGCGACATCCGCACACAGCGTCTTCGCACTCAGCGACTCCGAAAACAGCGTCATCGCACTCAGCGACTCCGCACACAGTGTCTTGGCACCCAGCGACTCCGCACACAGCGTCTTCGCACTCAGCGACTCCGCACACAGCGTCTTCGCACTCAGCGACTCCGCACACAGCGTCTTCGCACTCAGCGACTCCGCACACAGCGTCTTCACACTCAGCGACTCCGCACACAGCGTCTTCGCACTCAGCGACTCCGCACACAGCAGCTTTGCACACAGCGACTCCGCACACAGCGTCTTCGCACTCAGCGACTCCGAACACACAGCGACTCTGCACACAGCGTCTTCGCCAGTAATTGCATCAGCCAAAACTGGCTTTTGCCTGATGGCGGGTTTAATGACACATTTATATATTTACGCGATCTAACCCAAAAAACCTATATTATTCATGATATTGGTCGCGAAAGCCGACGTGTTCAACTGCAGTTTACTCAACTTAAGCCTGCAATGAGTCTTTAAATAATTGTGAAATCTTGTCATGACATGCTGCTCGTTACATAGTAATTGATTAATTATATCACTAAAATCGTCTTCAAACTAAAATATTTGTGATGCAAGAAAACAAGCATGTATAATGAGTAATATAGCATGAATTAACAAATATTTAGTCAGGAAATAGGATTAAAAAAATGAACTATATAACTATATTTTGCTCAACAGACAATACGGTTATCGAGGACTGTATTTTGTGCGATATATTTTTGTCTAGCTATGTTGCAACAACCATAGTTTACACTTGGTATTTGACTTCGTCGATGTATGTTCTGTTTTATAGAGATTACTTTGGATGCTTTGAGTGGTCTCTATGTTGTGACACATGCCGTTGGTATGCTGCTGTGTCACATGCTTACTTGTTTCTTTAATCCTTCTTGTGCTCAAAGGCAGCTTCAGACTGAGAAAGCGAACAGACAAGTGCAGCTCCAAAAAGCATCAGAGAGTATAAAGTTCAACCAGGAAGAGAACTGCAAAAATGAGACGCAGCTGACCAATAAAGTTCAACAACAAATGATAATTCAGGTAATGTATATCAGCTTATATTTATGTATGTACATCCAGTTGTAAAGGTGGCATACTTACTATCAACGGTAAAAGGAAAGTACAGTCCTCCAATTGCTTGCTCATGCCACTGCTGGCAGATGGGCCTTCATGAGAAGCTGTCAAGACCCCCCTCTAGAAGGTATTTGGCCTACTCTTCCACGATCACCATATGTGACCTCCTGGTCGACTAACTGGTTGCTGTACCCATTTATACTGCTGGTTGGACAGGCAGAAGGATTAAATAACATGCCCATATTTCAGAACTGCCACACCGGGAGATTAAGTCGAGCCAGCAACCTTTGGATTGCAAGTCCAGCGTGTGCTTACCGCTACACCACGGCAGTGTCAAGTTTTCCATATTTGAAATATGTGTGTGTTTGTGTTTCTACAGGGAAATATAAATAAACTCAGTGTGCAGATCGTGCAAATAGAAAACATGGAAGAGCCTCCTCCCTTGGATATCAGTGTCTTGGTAAGATTTTGTTACATCTCAGTGGAATAAATACTCCATTGTTTTCTAGACATTACATGCACCTCTCTCTACCTACCTTTATCAGAGGTACTCCTTAACTGGATGTTTTTAAATACAGTTTAAACATAAAATAGCCTTTTAACATGATTAGAACTTGTATGTTAAATTTTTTATTTAAAGCTTTCGTGACTGCAGGGATTCATATTCTTGGTTCTTTCGGTAAAGTCACGTAGAAGGGAAACAATAAAATAAAAAATATATTAAACAATAAAATTATCACGACGTTTCGACTGCAACACAAACATTCATCATCAGGTGTGAAAACCACAACAAGAAAATTCTACGTTTAATGTTTTTCTTTCATTGAATAATTTTTAAAAAAATATATATATAGCTTTGTATCTGTAGTTTTGTAATTACTTCCCTATATAATGGTTTTTGTATTTATGTATGTTTAGTACTTGGGGTGTTTTGCATGAATGGTGCTGTAAATGTAAAGTTTATTATATTATTACACACGCATGTTCGCTATTGGGTGAATTATCGTCTTACTTTCTCTTTTGTAATGCAAAACAAGCATTAACGTAATATACATACAGTAGTATTTTCCCCATGGCATTCCATTCGTGCAACTTAAATATATATTTACAATACGGACCAGACCTGCATTTTTCCATATCCAGGGGAAGAAAGACTCTATTAAAGGCATCTCAACATTCTCAGTAGGATGTCTTAATAATTTAGAACATTTGGTATTCACGCCATTCTAAAAGCACAAGTTAATCACAAAGGCACTATGTTTCACAGATGTCAGTAGTTTCAAGTAGGTGTTAATGTTACCGTGTGCAATGGAATAATCTGCAGGTAATTTTTTAAAATTTTGATCATGACACTAGTATACGATGTCCTATTGTTTGAATGACATCAGGGGATGTTTCGTATCCACTGTGAAGCAGATACCGCTTACTTTATGGTTAATACATCCGCAGCAATAACCAAGGCGGTCTGCCAGATTAGAACCGCAAACTTCTGCAACAAGCTGCGGATGCACTACTGCTGAGCCATGTCACCACTTAATTAGGGCACTGCATTGTATGATGGGACATCAGGAGGAGGAGATGCGGGAGTATTCTGAGCGCAAGGAGAGCGTGGACGCATCGCTGAAAGAGGCTTTGGTTCGGAACCAGGAGGCCACCTCCGAGCTGCAGGTCGCGAACAGTGCCTACAAAGACATCAGAGACAAAATGGATGCAATGAGGGAAAAGGCTGGACCCATAAAGGTATATTGAGAATTCTCTTAAACATTTTGCAACTGAACTGGTTGTGCTTTTTAGATTTTTTGGGTCTTTCGGTAAAGTCATGTAGATGATTGTGCTTTCGCTGGTTTATTTACTGGGTGAGTGCATTTGCGCTCTATTTTCTTTTATTGCGTTTTTATGTCACAGACTAAACTATAGAGATTACTTGTACCTGTACCTAATTTTTTCAGGCACCTCTTGCTAATTTATTTGCACTTATGATTTGCGTGTATTTAATTTACGACCATTAAATAGTTTGTTTCTCGTACAATATTCCTTAAGGACCCTGCGCTCATTCTCTGCAATGTTGTTTCTGTTGCTGCTGTGCTCATGCACCAAGGATCTGCCTTGTAAATTAGCCAGGCAACTGGTTAAATGGGATCATCCATGTAACAAAATAAACTCAAATAATTTTTTGCAACTTCTCATTTTGTAGCAGTGATGTCACTGACTCCTAGTGCTATGCTTCTACCTCTTTAGCATAATTTGACTCCAGCCAGCAATGACGTTGAAGAACACAGTCACAACCTAAGTCACTATGAGGCCAAACGCAGGGAGCACCTGAGGAAGATTGCAGAAAAGAAGACAGAGCTGGACAAAGTTGAGCATACCATCACTGTGAGTCACACATGGGACAAGAACAAAAAATGTATTAATAAGGGAGCCCTTTGTGGTTATAATTACAGTTCATTTAATTGGTTTCTCATCTAGACCGCAGATAATTGCATAGTTGATTTGATGTAAAATTTTGACTTTGCATGTGAAGTATGGAAGGCAAGACCCTGCCCTATTTTAGTGGTGTGGAAAAAGGTGGTGAAGCCTTCCAGAGAAGAAAGACTGGACCACCCAGAGAATATACCTGTCAGCTACAACTGGATTCTGTCCAATACATTTTGACAAAATAACATTTTACATTTAGAAGATGAATTACATCCCAGATATCTGTATCATTCATTCACCATTATTTTTTATAATGCACAGTTCCCAACACACAACTAATTGTACACTTGTTCAGGTGAGATATTGTTGTCCTGTACATGTTAATGAAGCTGGATCTGTCTTCCTGTGAGCCAGGAGGCCGTGGAGATGGCACAGAGGATTTGCCCGCAACGTGTGGAAGTGACGAAAACCACAAAAGCCATCATCCTGGAGTTGAAGACCAAGCAGGACAGGGTTAATCAGGAGCTGGATGTGATTGAAGACACTGAGGCCGTCACTCGGTGCGTCACGCAGCATACTACAGCACACACCTTAAAAGTTGGCTAACCCTGGCTCGTGGCGCTAAATGCATGTGTCAAGCCAACATAGACATGACCACAACTCTCACCCTCTGCAAGAAGTCCTTGCTTCGCATTGCACCATTTATTTTAATATGCATCTGCAATTTTGGATTGTCCTTTAATTTTAACTCCCAATTATTTTCAATCGTGTCAAACCAGTATTCCACTTCCATACAGTTTACTGAGAATGTTTAAAGAATGCGTACATGTTTTTCTTCTTTTTGTGAGGATTTTTATTGTGCAAACACACTTCCACAACAAGCAGAATGTTTGTTAGGTGAAATCTGGAGTGTTCTTCATTGTTACTCAATAACAATGTTTCTGTCTTGTTGCTGTAACAGTTTAACAGGTATGCCTGAAGATTGGGCAGCTTTGTCAAGTTTTTGCATTAGTTGAAGATGTTCCCAAATATTCTCGAAAAACCTAAGCACAATAGTTTCACATCCCTGTGATGCTAAATGCACTTAATTTCATGCATTTTTTTAGAAGAACCTTCAACATGTCAAGTGTGTTTTGCTGGATCGAGTATCATTTCGGTATTTTTTAGGATGCATTTTCTCAGACCGTGTACTAATTCATAAGGAACAATTTGTCTTGCTATAAGCCTTTGGAAAGTGAGCCCTGAATATATTGATGATGAGTGGTGGACTCCTATTTAATTAGATGTTGTTTCTCTTGTTTTCACAGAGAGTACCACGATGCTGTTAAAAAATATGAAAATTCCAAAAAGCAGTTAAAGACAATTAGGTATTTTGTTAATGTCTTAGATAAAATTATGGATGAGAGACAACATAACTACAGTCAGTTCATGAGGTGAGTGTCATCTCCCACAGTAGTGTTTTCCATATGTAAGTGGTTTCAGGTTCGAGTTTGTTTTGTTTAACTAGGTGAGAACTCCAGCGACAATAATAGTCTCATTTTCCATAGTGACCTGGGTTTAATTGCAATGAAAATGTAATTCAAATGGTACAGCTATATATCTCCCATTCACAAAAACAAATTTGTAAAAACACTGATGTGCTAATCTGCAAATATAACTGCCATCCGTAAGACAAATAGCGATTGAAGATCAGCATTTTGGCTCTACTGGGCTGTCCAACACCACTTTGAATGATGTTGAGAAAAAATGTTTTAAAGTCCTGGTCAGGTATACAATTGTAGCACTGGAGTTACACCACTGCAACATAACTCCTACATTTATGTTAATACAGTGGAATCTCTAGCCCTCTGACAGCACACCTGTTATTGATTTTAAAATATATTTTTTTCGTGAGCAAAAAACCTTCAGACATTTCAGAGCCTGGAAAACAGCCAAGGTGTTTTATCTGCAAGAGAAGAGCTATTTTCTGGATTGTATATTTTATACATAAGATTAAGATGCCCCTTACTATATTTTTTAGTACATTACATTTAATTGTGTTGGATTAAACAGATTCCACATGAACATTTTTTATCAGCCTACACACCTGGACAAATGTTAGTCAGCAGTATTTGTTAAGCCATGAAAGTCTAAACCGGTTTTAACACGACTGCATCTAGATTTTTTTTGGTTTAACACGTAGGCTTTTGCGACCAATATCCTGACTACAGTTTTTTGGGTTAGATCGTTTTCTAACCCACAACCGTATTATGGTTTATTTTTTTTCGTTTAATGAAAATCGTGTACTTAATACCAGGCTAAATATATAATTAAGTATTATAAAAATAGAAAGAGCAATACAAAATATTAGGTAAATGAACTTCACTAAAATCACAAGCCGATCCTGGAATGCAAAATCCAGTGTTATCATCGTATGGTTTTACAGTGGGACACCCTGGTGTGTGATGTTTATGTGCGTCAAGTTAGCCTTTAGAGCCCGTTACATTTTTGAGCTTCATGAATACAGCTTTACAGTTGCTACACTTTTTTTCTGACATTTTTAGTCTCCCATCTCAAAGAAAGATTTTGTTATGTGCAGGACACTATTTGCACTCACATATTTTTGGAGGGCCCATTGCAGTTTTCAGCTTTTGATGATATTTTGTATTGTCGCTTCCGTAGATATATTTCGTGCCGGTGTAAGTACAACTTTGACATGATGCTCGCCAAGTTGATGTACCAGGGGAAGATAACGTTCGACCATGGGAAAAAGACGTTGCAAATCGCGGTGAGCAAGGCAGAGCCATCGAGAGGCTCTCACTTCCCCCCCCAAGCAGTGGGCTACCTTAAATCCTATCCATCCTGGCTACGGCGGTAGAAATTAAAAGCATAGTCCAAAATGCAAGTGCGGCGCACCGCAGTAAACAGTGCAATGTATCGTGAACTTACATCCACTACGAGCATTTTCTGAGTCCACTTGATGTCTTCTGAAGCCAGTAGCTAGGATTCACAACTTTTAGATCAATCTATAGTTGCTACTCTATATATTCCCATACGAAAGAACAAATACAGCACGAGCAGCAACAGTGGGCACTGTTTCTCAATTTTTCTTGACTCATTAACCCAGCCAAGCTGGCGGTGGGATTCCTTGTCCTCCTCAGTAAGACGGCATCATTAGTGGCTCATTTGTGAGGATGGGGTGGATAATTAACTTGGGCTTGCATTGATCTTCCATCCCATTTTTGTCAACTGAATTATTTCTTGAGGATTGTTGAAGTTGGGCCCCAGTCAGTGTGGATGTGTGCGGGCTTGTTCTTGGGGTTTTTCCTGCATTTTCCCCATAAAAAACATCAGACATTGTGCTGAACAACATGCAGCACATCCATAAAATACATAGGAAAACTATAAAGCAGTATTAGCACAACTACAAAAATATATTCAATGATGCACATGGGTAAGACTCTGAGCCTTCAGGCTCACGGTTCTGTTGTAAAAAAACTAAGAAACTTTTCCTTGGCGCCTATATAGATCGGTGTGAATGAAGGGATTTTTCAGCTAATGTGATTTATGCAACTGGCCACGGGGATTTAGCTGCAGTGGATGGGAGGAGTACCGAGCTGATAGTGGCATGGGTGCACGCGTGCAGGTGCAAACGTCGCGAGGCGACGGAGACAAAGCTACAGGCGACGTGCGCTTGCTGTCCGGCGGAGAGAGGTCCTTCTCTACCGTGTGCTTCCTCCTCTCGCTCTGGAATGCCATGGAGTCACCCTTTCGCTGCCTCGACGAGTTCGACGTGTTTATGGTATTTAAATTACGCGCCTCAGAAAGAGTTAATGATTTCCTGCTAAAATGACCATTGAGGTGGTGCTCTTTAGTTTACATCCTTGTGCCAGTGGTGGGCATTACACGTTCCTATGGTAGGGTTAAAGTATATCCATAAGATGACCTTTGTTGACACCGCCACAAAGTCGTTCTTATCGAGCCTAGAGGGATGATGTGCCAAGTCAACCGCAAACCAAGATTTGAATTCACAACATTCTGATTGCGAGCCGCTCGTTCTGTTGAGCCTCCATATATGATCTGTAATTGGTACCAAATTACACACTTTAGAGTATTAATCACAGGTTGCTGGACACCTGGATATCTCGTCGACACCAAGCAAGAAAACCACATTTTAATTCGCTGGACCCATGGCCCGGAACTTGCAGCTGAAGGAACAGAAGGACAAAGACATCTCTCTCAAAATTTTAACTTGAACTAAAAACTCACCTTTTACATTGCAGCTATGCAGCATGCTTGAGATGTTTTGACATGACAGCGCATTCTTTAAAATTCTAATTATCAAATTGATCATTTGTTTTTTAATTGCACAAGAAATAGTTAATTGGTCATTTGTATCTGTATTATATTTCCTCCTTTTGTAATTTAAATGTATTTGCCCATCTTTTCGAGTGAATCAAAGCAGTGAGTTGTATTTGACTGTGCAGGACATGGTGAACAGGCGCGTATCCATGGACATGATGCTGAAACTCGCCAAAACCCAGCAGTACCGCCAGTTCATCTTCCTCACCCCGCAGAACATGAAGTGAGGCACACCGCACATTAAAATCCTCACATGAATAGGAAACAATGTGTCTTTGTACATGTGTAGTGCAGTAGAACCACGCGGAGATGAGGAATTATATAAAACACTGTTACACTCGACATCCTACGCTCACACCAGTGCAGGTGCACTCTGTCTCAGTTCTTTACCCCGGACACTGAATACTATTTGGGTCTTACCCCCCTCTACGCTATGGGCTCTCTCACTCGTCTCCTCAGAGTGGGGGTTCAGCCAACACCACTCCGCAACGAGGAGAGAGAGAGAGAGACCCTCTTCCAGTCGACCCTTTACTGAATACCTACGGACCCTACCCTCGGCTATCCCCTTGGCTCTCCCGTTAGTCTGCCCAGAGCGGGGGTTCAGCCAACACCGCTCCGCGACGAGGAGAGAGACCCTCTTCCAGCCGATCCTTACCCTCGCTCCCTACGACGACCCCGCCTCCGTCATGGGGCCCCCCTTAAGAACCCTTTGTGAGGCTCCTCCCCCCGGCTTGGCTCCGCCCATGTTCCCGAAGGTGCTCTCCAAAGCCTCTTACGTAACCCGTGACGTTACATCATTCTTGACTGTCAACCCGCTCGCACCTCCTCCTGCTCACCCCCTCATTGGTATCTCACAATACTCCTCTACACATGCATACATTACATATTGAAATATTGTAAACATATAGTCATGAAATGGCACAAATGTTAGCTGTGTGTTTTTATAGTTTACTGCAATGCTAGATTGATGAAGAGGTGGTGAGGTGGACTAATTGATTGAATGGCCGATATGTGATGATTTATCTTCCCACCCACGCCCTAATGGTTCGGTGAATTGTCCTGTTTTGGAGGACGCATATTGATTAATGAATCACATATTTGGTATCATTTGTAATTTGTTCAGTCTCATGATCTTGTTAATTTCAGTAGTTCAAGATAAAATTTTCATATAAACTGTGTAAGTTTTAGTAATTTCTTCAATGCGTAGTTTTTTACACGTCGTAAGTCTAATTTAGTCAATACATCTTTTCACGCCAAAGGCGGCTGCCACGTCCAAATTGCCCATTTAGTAGACGAGGGGGTCTGCAGTCAACGTTGCCGTCCTATTGAGGTTACGTTCATAGTAACCACACACTCTGCCGTGAACGACTTATGTTCATAGTGAGTTTTACACTTTTACTTGTTACAAATATTTTACCTGAAAAAGCCATTGAAGTGGAACATCTAATTTTCAAGGGTTTCCTGGGTGTCAAGTGATAATCTACAGCTTATGTAGTACAGTTAAACCTGGGATTGCGAGTAACTTGGTCTGCGAGTGTTTGGCAAGACGAGCATTTTTTTTTAAATAATTTGATAAACGAGTGATGTCTTGCAATACGAGCAGTGCGTACAGTATACGCTTTGTCTGCCGAGCGTCACGTGATCACAACTGAGCCAATGGTTCTTCTCTCTGGCTGTGGGATCGTGAGTAATCATCTCCCATGCTCGGTCTCAGTCGGCGTGCCTCACTCGTATAGTTAACATCCGTGCGAGTGTATACTGTTTACAGTATAGTGTTGTGATCACGTGTGTGTGCGTAAAGCATTTTTTATTTTGTGTCCAAGTGTAGCGACTCTTCTTTAGTAACTGTATTGCAGTTGCAAGTGAAAGTCGTCCTACACACTTACCCTGCCTCCTCTCTGTCGTCTCCCTCACACCAGCCACGATTAAATGTAATTAATAAATTAGATTACTTTATATTAAATTTAAATAATAAAAATATAAAAGGTATTTTGTATTAATCATTTTTATATTAATACAGTATTTTTGGGTTGTGGAACGAATCATCTGAGTTTCCATTATTTCTTATAGGGAAATTCGCTTTGATATATGAGTTCTTTGGATTACGAGCACGTTTCCGGAATGAATTATGCTCGCAATCCAAGGTTTCACTGTATACATTTGTTGTGTCAACGATTCGGATACGAGGTTTGTAGGAGGCACCTTTTATTTAGAACATTCAGTCTGGCCTGCACACTCTCTACAGTCGCTTAGCCAAGCCGATACACAACACTAGCCATCTAAAACTGACGGCACTGACTGAGACAGCCAACACCTATCTGGCAGCACTATCGAGCGAAGATGGCAGCCACAACGGCGACGAGACGACAGCAATGACAAGACGAATCCAATCCCAGAACCAGCAGCCTCAAGCTCCCGCTCTCATTTCCTTTTATCCTACCAATGCGGCCTAACTCTGGCCTGGCCGCGCCTCCCTGCTCGAACCCACTAGCAGGTTCCAGGGGCTTCCAGACGGGGTCCTCTGTGACCCTTGCACCAGTTCCTCCGCCCTGCCGACACACCCGTGCACACGCTCACCTGCCTGTGTACTGTCTGTCCACCACAGTTGCCATTGCTGCCCACCAGCCGGTGCTATTACACTACACATTTATACAATGTCGGATACATTCATAGAGAATTAAGAAAAGGAACAAGATGGCTGAGGCAGCCCATATGAGCATCACACCACAAATCAAACACAAATAGTGCACAATGCTGAATGTTCTCCAGTTGTAACATATGAAATCGTAGAGCAACTGAGCTGCTGCTGCTGTTGTTCTGACTCTGCCATTCAGCAGCAGCCTACCAGTGAACCGGCTGGTAAAGATCCTCAAGCTGGACGACCCCATGCGGGGCCAGACAACCCTGCCATTCAGAGCTGTGCATCAGGCGAGTGACGAAGAGAGCACAGATGACGAGAGCTGAATGTAGCACGTGCCAGCGTCACACACTGGGCTGCCTGGTGACGGTGACTAAAGTGATGATGCTCATGCATAGCCATCGCCAGCAGAAAATCCACATCAAAATGTGTTGTGCACACAACTGACTGTATGGGACATCCGTGTGCAAGACTTCCTTAAGCCACTTGTCATTTTGGAGCTTGTGTTACTTTTCTATAACTTTGCGATCCTGTGCAAAATAGATTTAAGATAATCAGACTTCACTTTGTGCTATTGTTTTTGTGTAGAAGACCCTGCACTAGGCCATTTCATTGCCTCTTATTTTTCCAGTTTAAGAATGTTCTCTTTCTTGCCAGGAAAGTGTTACCACGGCAAAGCAATTTTTTTTATGAAAATGGCAAAAAAGATGTACCACGTGTTTGCCACTTTAGTGGTGACGATGCATAGTTACCTGGAGCTTCAAATGGTTGTAAAGTGCATCTCAGGTGGCGACTGGCCACAAATGTTAATCAATTAAAATTGCAGTCCCTGGATTAAACGCATTTAGCAAACTGAGATGGTAGGCGCAGTAAAGTTGTGAGTGTACAGACACGTGTAATGGACAGGCTTGACAGGCCCTTGGGAATGTATGTCTCGGCAAAAAGTATGTATGAAACAAAAAAATACTTTTGATTGACATTTTTTTCGATATTTTCAGTGCTTTCTGAAAGCAGAATTATTAAATGTATATATGTGCTAAAGAAGGACTAGCTTAAACATTTTTAAATACGAATTGGTTTGTAAACTATTTTTATAATAAGAAATGTATATCTAACCGCTTTGCTACATTTTTACTCCATTTTTTATTTGCACAATGTACAAAGCAAAATATTTCCTGGTGGTAGCGATGTCACCCTCGTGTCGGTGTTTAGCCGGGTTCATTTGTGCTTGTGAGGTCACACCCCCCCACCCACCCTTCACCTCTACAGCAATGGTTATACATTACTAAATCCTAAAAATGTCAATTGTAAAAATAACAAAAATTCTAATCCATTCAGCAGGTTTATTACCTGCGATTATGTTATGGTCCACCGGAGTTTTCTGCCAGCTATGATCCAGCATTTCCCCCATTTGACGGACTTGATTGGAGGGACATAAAAATACCAAATTGCACTCAAAGCTTGCAACTTAGTTTGCAAAGCAATGCAGATTAATTAAGCACACCACATTGTCTGCACCTATAAACAAAGTCCCATTAGCCTGTTGGCTTTCCAGACCAATATCCAAAACAGTACTGTATTGCTATGTTATTTGCGCACAATCGTCTGCTTGTTTTTGTGTTTACCCACAATTCTGCACAACGCACGAGTTTGCCGTGTCCTGCTTTTATTGTACTGTATGGCAACTACAGTTCGTGCATCCACAATCGGCTTGTGTTGTGGTCTTTATCTTCCTTTTTAATGATTAAACTTGTTTACACTAAATAACATTGCAAGCTGTAAAGAGAGATAATTTGGTTTGCACGATTAGCATAGTTAATATACTGGGGCAGCCCACCCTTTAGTTGCCTCGGTATGAACACTACCCTGTATAATGCAATTCAGAAGTTTAAAAACGAAACTGCCTGTGTGAACTCTGATGTTTTCCACTCAAGTATTGTTTGTTCTCCAATCAACTCGGTCTGATAGTTTATTTCGAGCCGATCAAAAAACGTTTATTAAATGTGTAAGTGTATTTCACACTGACCGACGATGCAAAATACAAGCATTCCTGAAACTGTAAACACCACCAAGCCATTCTACGTTTTGATTGCCTCTGGGATAAGCCGACGTTCATTTTCTCATGCAAATATTTCATCATAAGTTGTATAAAATAAACCAAAATTGGAATGCACAGTTCATGTCTTCTTGCAGTAGAAATCCCTATGGATAGTCTTGCTAATCATGCAATAAGTGAATTGCAATACAGTATAAGCGACAGGCAATGTTTAACTTTCAACAATACAACTGCTAAACAAAAACACATTAAAATTAACAAGTTTAGTTCAGCCTTTGAACAGCAAGTGTAAGGCAAGTAAAACATGTATTTGGTGCTAGATTACATTAGGATATTTTTCATTGAGCCTTGAAAATCAAATAATACTATTTAAACATACGGACTAAATAAAAAATAAAATTAACACTAAATAGAGTAGGAATGAATAGCTAGCCTGTTAATAGATTGTTATATAGCACGACAGTTGGCATGTTCACATGCATACGGTGGAGAAATGAGTAAATGGTGGATGCAAAGTTCAAAGGCGTTTCTTCTTTCTGGAAACGACTCCCAGTTTCACACTTCAGGGATCGAATGATCCATCTGGTTCTTGAGAACGCTGGAAGCCATCCTGCAGGAAATGGAAACGCTACGTGTGAGTGATGCCCCATAGCACGGACACTGCCAGCCCAAAATAACTTTTTTATTACAGCCACAACTATCGAATTGAAATAATCTTTATCATTGTAACATTTCTTATTTACCCAAAAAAGCCTTAGTTTCAAGACTTTCAGAAGGGTCATAAGTTTGTTGTTTAACATTAGAGGGTGATATTGTCAACTGAGTCATTTGCGGATTTTTTTTATTTGGTAAATTTGACCCATGACGCTGGCACACGCGGCTTACTCTTTTTCAAATAATATCACGTAGATATTTAATGTCCATTGTGAGGTGGACTGTGTTTTTGCACGATTAACACACCCGGCGGTATTAACCAGGGCGGCCGTGGGTCTTGATTTGAAAATTTGCAACAAGAGGCAAATGCGCTACATCTTGGTGATCGATCTTATCAAGTAAACTGAATAAATAGCACACCTTAAATAAAGCACCTGACTGCAATGTTTACATCTTGGTTACCATGAATAAATCTTTAAGCTTGTCAGACAGCCTGTGACACAGCCTGGGTAGGTTTCTGCATAATTAGAGACGCTTGGTTTTGCGTATTCCTTTTATGGTGTCTAACTCCCACGCAGCATTAAGCAAAACACTACATTTTGCATTAAGATATGTGCGCATGTGTGACGTGTTACAGTGGGGGACGGTGACGTGGCCACACGTTCAGGTTTTTATTGCAGAGGTTTACAGTTCAAGACAAGTGTCCACCCTGATGACAACTCGGTGTAATAACCGTGAAAATATTACGCGCAGTCTGCTTCAGTGGACGTTAAAGATCCCCTGGCATCAGTTTAACACGTAGGCTTTCGCGTCCAATATCATCCATAGTACATTTTTGGGTTAGATATCGTAAATATAAAATGTGTCATTAAACCCGACAGCCAATTAGTAAGGTGTGTCACTTAAACGGAATCTTACCCATAAAACCTATTTTGGATCCCCTGATATAATTTCCAAAAGTAGGCCATTGTGTGTCAGGGTCTAGATTCGCCAAAATAAAAATTACTCTTAAATTACTCCCAATCGGGACTATACATGGCAGACTAAAGCCCCAGGTCAATTGCAAACGTCACTATCCTGGTCTCTTGAGATCTCACCTGGTTTAACAAAATAAACTTGAGACTACATATTCCGAGCCTTGCCATGAATCACCTTTTGATGATGTGGTCATAGATGAAGGAGGGCATGATGGTCAGGGTGATGGTTGAGCCAGAAGCTGTCAGAATTTCGCTGACTTGCGAGTCCTGAAAGAAAGAGAAAACATTGAAATGTGCACTCAGCAGTTTTTTTTCTGCAGTCCTGCTATCGACGCTGCTAAAATACTACCTGCACTGGAAAAAAACATGAATTAAGGTTGGATGATGTGAAAATAAAATAACTCATCCACGAGCTAATGGATCTTCAGGATCAAAGCTTTCCAGCAGGATATGCTCAAGCAGTCAAGATTCTGGACTTTGATTAGAGGTGGAGTTGTTTTAAACTATGGCTGTTTCTGTAGTGTTAACATGGGTTTACTATGGACTAGATTGGAGATATCTGTATTGAAATAATCAATGACTAACGATTATCGGTTAAATTCTACTCGACTAAATCGGATGACATGGAAATTGTAAGAAGAAAAGTCTCGCCACGTGTGCTACTGGACGGGATGTGATGGGTGGAGTTTGTGACATCACCGGCATTGTCGACTGCATCACAAAGGATATGGATTGTAGGGGGTTTCCCACCTTCGGGAGATACGATGTGGGGCAGCCACCATTTTTAAAGGCGTCCGAGTAATTGACCACAAAAAGTAGTCAATGACAAATTGAATTGGTTGATTTACTTAATTGATTAATGGCCCCGGCTCTACTTTGGAGTATGAACAAGCAGCTGGTGTCCTCCATTAGTGGTTACTACTGAAGTCCCAAAAACCCTCGACACCATAACCACCATATCTGCTCATCCCAATCCCCACTCAATCCCGTAAACCCACGTGTGCACCCACAGTGGGCATGCCTCACCTTGAGGCCCACGACGTTCTGCCCGTTGAGCTCGCACACATTGTGCTCCGTGAGCAGGCCATTGCGCGCGGCCGAGCTATCCTTGGTGATGGACACGATGCGGCCGTTTTTGAACACGAATCCCACGTAGCCCAGGCTGTCCTTGTGCATGGTGATGGTGCGCTCAAACGGCCTGACGGGACGAAACGCGCCACATCGAGGACACAGACAAGTTGAACTCGATTGTGCGCCTCCAATTAAAACGTCAAGTATTTTTTCGCCCATGAGCCTGGCCTACGGGCTTTCTAGAGCAGTATTATGCAGCAGTATTTCACTTATCAACGACATGAGTGGAGAAATCCTTTCAGTGTGCACATAAATGCACATTTTCTCAGTCCATTGGCCTATTGGCTTTTGAGAGGTAATATTCAGCAGCATTATGCAAGCAAACTGTTAGTTTCGATACCGTTCAATTTACTTTATTATTGTGAATGCTCTATAGCTATCGAGCGGCAGGCAGTGCAACTGCACTGTGGCTCACGGCCGGAGGCGCCCAGGTGCTGAGAGATTAAGAGGGTTGAGAGGAACTGGATAGGATGGGGTTGGAAGACATTTAACTCCATGCAGCACCAGGGCCCTTGCGAACTGCCCTACGCCATCGTGCTACCTCAAATAGAAAACGTAATGTCACCAGGCGCCAGCCGACTCACCTGTCACGCACGGCCATCACGATCCTTTCCGGCGCCGCTTTCTTCAGCACTTTGTGCGCCTTGTCCGTGTCCCACGCGGCACAGTTCTCGCCATTGATCTGCAGCACCTGGTCGCCGAAGCGAAGCCCAGCCAACGAGGCCGGCGAGCCCCCCTGCACCAGCTGCACAAAGATGCCCTGCGCAAGCGGTGCGGCGCAACCATTGGCAAAAAACAGTCAACTTTGACGCCAGCGGCCGATTCCTCTTCGTTAAAATCGGCGCAATTACGATGTGGGTTTTTAAAGCATCTGGACGAGACCGCGGTGCGGAAACGGTGGGCGTATTTACGTCGTCATATATGTAATCGTGGAGCGGAACTTGCGTGTAATAAAGCACGACACAAGGTCTCGTAAGAATGTGACCACCGATGCAGGTTTTGCAACTTGCTCACCATCCTTTAATTCACCTAACATCGAAGTTGTGCCCAAGTGCACTGGCGCATTGCCAGGGTTTGAACCATGATGTGGGTCTCACGATTTAATCACGAACCACACTCAAATCACTGTTAAGAGAAGGTTACACCTCAACTTAAAAAATGCGTGAATCTAAAATCATATTTATGTCCGTCACCTCATGAGGTTATGCACAAATGTTTTCCAACAGCATTTTTTCAAGCATGCATCCTCTAGATTGGTCTCGACTTTCTGAGTTTCATCACCAGATAGAAATAGGATTTACCTCTGTTGCAGTAAATGTGTGTCCTACCAACTGACCCCTTTGCAACTTTCCAGTGAGGCTTTGGGTCGTAGCGCGTGTTGCTCGACACGATGGCCGCGCAACACGCGCTACGACCCAAAGACACATCAGATCGGAGAGTGGCGGTGCGGCGCAAACCGTGGGAATCCCGGAGAAGTGAGCGTACCACCCCCCCCCCCTTCACCTTACCTTGTCAACGGCCTTGAGGCGCAGGCCCAGCTTCCCGTCCTGGTCTTTGCACAGGATGACCTCGCGGACGCCCTGCTTCACCTCGGCGCGCCGCACACCCACGTCGGATCCCGTCACAGGCCCCAGGGCCATGCTGGAGCCGGACGGCCGAGCCACCAGGGCCTACGGGACAACGTGCCCGGTCAGCATCTCTACGCGCGCTGGCAGCGTCGTCATCCACGGCAGCTACGTTACATGGCGCAAATTCGGCCCGAGGTGGAATGCTGCTGCAGCTGTCGTATCTGGGGTGGAGCACCCAGCTCCCACCTCACTACACAAGACAATGCAATGTTAAACATTCGGGGCGATTGCTGCTCCGGCAATCGTTGCCACTCGCTCACCGGCGGTCAATCACCTCCTTATCACTCTGTCACCACTACCATGGGTTACTATTCCTGTGAAATCCACTTATTCAGTGCTCCGCCCATGTTGAGGACCTGGTGTACCATGCTGTTTTGTCTGATCCACACTGTTCAACCACCGCTCAACCACTCACCCATTCACCCCACCCACTCGCTCGCTCACTCGCCCACCCACTCACCACACCACAGGTCAAACCACTTTTCCTTCTGCTTCTTCTCTCACACTGCATGGCTTTGAAATGCCCTCCCATCATCTCTTCCCAAGCAATTGCAACCTTTCTCAATTCAAGAAACGTGTTAACTCTTATATTTTACAATCTTGAAAGGGCTGTTTGTCGCTGGCCGTTTGACATTTTGGGCCTTTGGGCACCGTGCTCAGCAATTGTGTTCAACAAAAACTCAGCCATCTCGGTCACAGCAACACCATGACGTCATGAAACTATCGACAGTTTACATCCTGTGCAAAACCGAGATAACCATCAAAACGGCAGGATCCCTGACACTGGAAAAAACTTTATCGAGCACCACCGGGAAAATATTGTTCAGCTCCAATAAGTTACCAGGATGGCATTGCTCTCGGCTGATACAGAGCTCATTGTGCCGCCGCCGTCTCGGAGGGCCGCCGTCAAGACGCTTTTGTAGTCCACAAAGTCCAACACCCTTGATGGGGGATTACACTTTGTACAGCACGCTGCCAGGCTGTGTGAACCAAGAGGTATGAGGCCGCCCTTGTCATCACTCGGCATTGCGGATGCGTCTTGCTGGGGGCTGAGTAAGACTTTCAAGTAGCTTGGGCGGGCAACAACACATTACCACACACCTCAGCGATATCCACTCAAAACGGAATTCATATTTAGGGCTCACCTTTAAAGGTGACCAAACCTGCTAAAATGAGAAACGGTGTGGTTGGTAGATTAAAAATATTCCACTCCCTCTAGTACCCGATGAGTGTGGATAAGAAGGCAGCATTAATCGACCTTGTTTGGCTGTGGCCACGTGTTCTCCTGTACAGCCACAGGGAACAACTGCAGACTTACGCTCCACAGTTAGCCACCGCAGACCCTCTCACCCGCGCTCATCCCTCTCACCGTGGCGCAAGCAATCCACGACAACAGGAGGAACTTGGTTGCACTTACACCAGGAGTGACACTCAACAGTAAACATCTTTAAGGATGTACACGGTCTTTAAATGTTATAAGCTACAATCCCAACCTCGAATCTGAAGTAGAGCCATAGTTTGAAAAAAATACTTGTCTTACACATTTCAGTTCCTGGGACCCCCCCGCCCTCTTCACCAACCCCCACTGAGCAGCGTGGGCAAAGATGGCCAAACAATCCCCATGAGCAAAGGTCTTGCAGGGGCCTTGTACACCACTGACATTGCACGCAAACCAATATTTATCATGTATTATTTTTAGTCTAATGATATTTAATTATTTTATAACCTCCAATTGTGTTATTAGATGCACTCATTCACAGAGAGCCATAACAAAAATATAAGGAAGAAAAATCATGCACATGCACGAATATTGAAATCCTTTATGACTTGCGTTATTCTTGAAAGTATTCTATTAGCGATGATAACCATGTAGTTGGATATAGTTCGAGAGGAAGTAAACAAGGGAAATGGATGCATGTAAAACGCTATCGTTGGCCAACATACCCCGGAGGAAGCTGAGGCCGCCACCATGGGCATGTTGAGGCGGATCTCCTCGTCAGAGAGGCTGAGGCCCATATACTCGCGCAGCTCGGGGTAGAGGGTCGGCGTCGGGTACAGGTCACCTGCACACGCGCACAGGCACGCAGGTACGCACACAGGCACGCACGCGCACACGAACGCATACGGGCAAACATTAGCCTAGAATTCCCGAGCACCCGAAACCACATTCACAAAATCAGCATCACTGATGTCCCTTTCAGTGCCTTGAGATAGACGGAAGTGTTCAAAGGGTTAAAGAGTCGCTCTGCTCACAATACTGCTGGCAGAAGGGTCTCCCCACTCGAGTGAGTTCTACAGAGCCCCGCCAGAGGGTGTTTACACCGACTTTTACACACTGGCCAGGCGCCTTGGAGAAGGTCGGCGATTCGCGACTTGACCCGACTGGTACAACTTTGTCAACTTTAGCCATTCGGTAAGCCTAAGCCACAGACAGCACCATGAGAAGGTCGGTAAAAGATCGTTAGTTAGAAGCGGATGGCTAGGGGTGGGGGGCGTTTAAGAAATATTGAGCAGTGCCAACTGCCGCACCAGGAGACTGAACTGGCGACTTCTCCATTGCAACCATTACACCGTGGCAGCACGCCGATGTCCTAAGCTGATAGATGATCACACTGCCACGCTCTTGCTCGAGCATTAACCATCCGCTAATCGGTGTTGGAGGGGTAGGCTGTTGTGTGTATTAGGGCACCAATGATGAATGTGAAAATTTAAAGTGCCTTAAGTGTATGAAAATATGCAACTGGTTCCCTAGACTCAGTTGAAAAAAATTGCAATTAATGAGACTCAATATAGCTGCCTAGAGCAGCTATATTGAGTCAACATGTGCAGTAGCCTGCCTGTAAAATGAACCTCAGCAGCACTGCCTAGAAAACAGAAACCAAAGCCCAGACCCTGGCACAGCCAGCAACAACCGTCCTGCGCCATCCCTACCTCGACACCGACTACACATTCACGAGCAAAACAATGAGAAAATAAGAGAACACATTTGCAGACAGGAAATTGCATGGCGAGGCTGCCTCTGTAATGCAAAACAAGGTCAACGCCAATTACATCAGTGCACAGCATTGCGTTCCATCCCACAGGGTCAGAGTTAGCGCGTGTTGCAACAACTGGATTTAAAGTTTCGCCGTAAATGACATCACGTGGTCCCCTTGTTTTTCTGCAGCATTCTGGGAGGCTAAGTTATACAAACACATTTAAGGTAAGGTTAGAGTTTGCACAAGCATACTGTTACGGACTGGGCTTGTGATTGGAAGATGTTTTTTAACTGTCATCGCATTTCAAGGGTGCACAAATGCGTGTGGATGTTGTTGAGACTGTAGTTATGGTTGAGCATGTGCCTGTGGTGGTGGTTGGGTCCGTGGCTGTGGTTATGACTGTCCCTACAACAAGCTCGTTTTTTTAACTGTATTTGTAAATATCAGTGTGATATTCATGACAATCATCGTCAGACTTTATCAATCCACTGCTGGATGAAGCCATCACCATCTCACAATTCATAAAACTGAAATCTGCAAAATCGGGCCATGAGCCACTGATTCTAGCCAATTCATTACTAGACTACTCCTTTTCCACTTCCACGCGTGCCGAGCCAGCAAGGGACCCTCACACGACAGAGGTGATATTACAAACCGTGATACTCTCGTCTCACAAGATGTGAAATCTGGCTCAGAAGTCAAGCAGGTCCAGGGGCAGGATTGATATATTTTTTGTCAATTGTTGCATAAGCAGATGCCGATATCACACGCTAGTTGCGTGTAAGGTCGGCAGCACGGCTCAGTTTTCTGCAGTGGAACAACAACCCGGGCACCTCCCGAGCCGTGCTGGCTCAGGACGGCCTCGGCACGGCAGAAGAAAGCGGTAGCGCGCGCTCTACGTGTTGGATGGAGTTTGGAGTGGCGGTGGCCGCGAGGGGGAAGCTGCCCGAGCGTTTCGTACCGCTGGCCATGGGGTCCGTCGACGCGGCGATGGCCACCGCCCCCATGTAGCCCTGCTGCTCTGCCAGTCGAGTCTGAGCCTGCACGCACGCATGCACGCACACAAAAACAAATATCCCCGTATAGCTTTAATAGACTGCTGGGGCAAGGTCTGTTAGTGAGCATCTGTGAAGCCCGGCACGGCATACAAGGGGGTGGGTTGCCAGCATCAAGCCCGACTGCCTTTGTCTTCCAAGTGGAAACGTTTACACACTGCACTAGGTACTCATTTGAGGCTGAGACAACCTAGGGGAAGCCCAGAACCAATTCAGATAATCATCACTGGTGTTGACCGTGAGCAAGAATCAAACTCAGGTCGCTGGGTTTGTAACGAAGCACTCTAACCATTACACTGCCGCTCTCCACGCACACATGCACACACACACGCAGAGCCTCGATAACACACGCAACCCGTGACCGGCTGTCGTCCTGGCAATGAGCTCCTTGTCTTGTGTGCACACTACGGGAAAGTTCGTTACACACTGACCCCAATCCAGGGGGCTGGCCCCCAGAATAGGTTGATGCATTGCCAGCTTCATAAGTTACTGGTTACATTCGGTAGAGTTCTGGTTAATCTTTAACCATGCACCATTTGGCAGCTCCCAGCACTCACATGCTGCTCAGCATGAGACTCTGGGGGTCATCATCTTGTAAAATCATGTGGCCTCTTGTATATCTGTGTTTTTTACTCCAATTTTATCTAGATAGTTCTGTGGGTGTCATGTCATTCGACCAAGTTAGAGAATGGCTCTCGGAAGCAGATATCACAGAGCTACTTCTGAGACCCATTCAAGTGACCTGCTTTGTGCAGAACTTCATTGCATCATAGCCAAACCGATAACTCTCATTCATAGAGCTCACATGAATCCATTCTATTTAATTTGCAGGCTGACACCGTCAATTCACTGCAGTTGACATCTGACTTTAATCACAGGTGACTACTTAGATTTGATACCAGGATCTCAGCAGGGTCAATTTAGAAATCCGAGCTACATGACCAACCATTTTCTTAATTATTTTTAAAATGCATTTAATTTTTTTCAACGTGAACCTATTATCAGTACCAGGAAAATCTAGTGTCATCATAACAGCATATGATGACAAGAGTTGAATTACATCCACCAAACGTGGTGAACGATGGACCCGATGCAGCAAGTGGTACCGCGAGTTGACTTGAGGGAATGCTGCCGGTACTCAGAGGGAACTTTAATAATTTAGACTGAGCAGGATGTGTCTGTGTAGGCTCTGAATGCGAGAACAATGACTACGTGTGCGCACTACGCCCAAAGTTATTAAGCCTTCAGGCTGGTTGGGAGCACTGTTGTGGGTACACAAAGCCACCGATTGTGTTTACACAGCAGTGCACGTGAACATTGTGTTAACGAGCATCGTGTCTCGCACAACTGGGCCAAATGCCGCAAATGTGCACTTGCGTCTGCTCTTCAAGTTGGGGGGCATCCTGAAATATTGATGGCGGTGGCCGCCCCTGTTCACGGTCGCGGAAAGCCGTGGCCGTTTCATCTCTCCGATACGTATTCTGCTCAAGCCACTTGCTGTTCGGCAGGACGCTTCGCTCCACGCACAGACAAGCTTCTTCAGAAACCAAATGGTTCCCGAACTTAACTGTTTCCTGAAGAAGCTCCGAGGAAATTAGAACGGAAATGTCGGACATCGTGCCAAAAAGCACACGGAGAAAACGAAAGGACGACCTGCTATTTAGCTTATTTAGCAACTGATTATTTCTTGCACCGAACCATTCCCTCAAGCAGCTCGCAACATGCGGAGTGAAACGTCGGGCATCACGGTGAACTACGCGCCGCACCAAAAGAAAATGCACCGCAGCACTGTACAAAACAAGCGCAAGGATCGAGGCAGCAGACGGTGGCTGCCTTGTGCGGCGCTGCAAGAGCACGCGATGTTTATGTGTGCGTTGTGTGCCATGTGTGTGTGTGCGTTGTGTGTGTGTGGTGTGTGTTTGTGCGTTGTGAGCGGTGTTTGTGTGCAGTGGGTGTGTGTGCGGTGTGTGTGCAGTGTGTGTATGTGCGGTGTGTTTGTGTGCAGTGTGTTTGTGTGCAGTGTGTGTTGTGCGGTGTGTTTGTGTGCAGTGTGTTTGTGTGCAGTGTGTGGTGTGTGTAGTGTGTGTGTGCGGTGTGTTTGTGTGCAGTGTGTTTGTGTGTAGTGTGTTTGTGCGGTGTGTTTGTGTGGGGTGTGTTTGTGTGTAGTGTGTGTGTGCGGTGTGTTTGTGTGCAGTGTGTTGTGTGCAGTGTGTTTGTGTGTAGTGTGTTTGTGTGGTGTGTGTTTGTGTGTAGTGTGTGTGTGCGGTGTGTTTGTGTGCAGTGTGTTGTGTGTAGTGTGTTTGTGCGGTGTGTTTGTGTGGTGTGTGTTTGTGTGTAGTGTGTGTGTGCGGTGTGTTTGTGTGCAGTGTGTTGTGTGCAGTGTGTTTGTGTGTAGTGTGTTTGTGCGGTGTGTTTGTGTGGTGTGTGTTTGTGTGTAGTGTGTTTGTGCGGTGTGTTTGTGTGCAGTGTGTTGTGTGCAGTGTGTTTGTGTGTAGTGTGTTTGTGCGGTGTGTTTGTGTGGTGTGTGTTTGTGTGTAGTGTGTTTGTGCGGTGTGTTTGTGTGCAGTGTGTTGTGTGTAGTGTGTTTGTGTGCAGTGTGTTGTGTGCGGTGTGTTTGTGTGTAGTGTGTTTGTGCGGTGTGTTTGTGTGGTGTGTTTGTGTGTAGTGTGTTTGTGCGGTGTGTTTGTGTGGTGTGTGTTTGTGTGTAGTGTGTTTGTGCGGTGTGTTTGTGTGCAGTGTGTTGCGCGCGTGTTTTAGTGCAGTGTTGGTGCGGTGAGCGTTGTGCTCGTTGTGTTTGATCGCGGTGTGTGCGTTTGTTCGCACGCACAGCACTCAGAGCAGTAAAACCTGCTCCTCAGGAAACCGGGGGCACACGCCCATGAGTCACAGTGCGACCTCGTGACGGCAACATCACGCACGCAACAGGAGCACGTGATAGGGCCCCTTGTCTGATTTGGCTCGCGACTTGGAGTCAAGTGCTGACGTCACAGGATCGAGTTGTCGCTCCGAACAAAACATTCCGAGAAGCTTAATCCTGCGCGGTGTACACAACAGCTGATCGACACGTCGGTGTGTCTTTAATTTGTGCACTTAATTAACAAAAATGTCCCCACCCTATAATAAATAAATAAGTGAGGTCTGTTATTATTTTGTACCTAGTTATGATTATTTTGATATGTCGGGTTCTCTACAGCATTCGTGATACAATTCAATAATTAATATCACTATCCCCCCCCTGACGAGGACTGGCTAATTGATTGCGACGCGTTTAGTTGTAACATATTGAAGGGATAAAGCAACGCTCTTCGATGCAGTGTACCATGAACGCCTTTTTTCCCTTAAACCGTACTGTACCCAAACACAGGTTTGCCTTGACTCAGCTCAACCCATGTAAAGATTCAGAAAAGGAATTTCCTGTTTAATTTGTTTCCCCTATTCTCAAATGCCAACATTGGCGAGAGTCAGGGGTCTATATAAAACACACCAAAAGCTGTCTCAAGGAATGAATTGCGCCTACATGAGAACACAACAGCGCTAAACCGCAAGTGTGTGAAGACGGGACAGCGACCAGCGCTGGTGGAACGTGGAGGAACGTACCTGGATCACCTTGTCCACCTTCATATCTTCCAGAGATGGGTAGAGAGACATTTTGGCTTCTTTTTAACTCCACGAGCAGACCTGCGCACGAGATAAGGCATTACCACTGCACTACATCACCACCGGTGGCTCAGCGGTAGAGCGATCGGCTCGCAATCAGAAGGTCGCGAGTTAAAATCCTGGCTGGGAGTTGATTCAGTCCCATAATCCCTCCGTCCAGCGTCGATAAAATAGTACCACACTCTGGGGAAGTGAACAGTGGTTTTCCTATGGATAGACTCATCCCTGTGCTAGAAATGAGTAATGTCCAGCACTGGCTCAGTGCTGTATACAGGAGACAAGCATTGGTTCAATGCTTGTTGGAGTAGGAAATCCCTTTGACTGCACTATCTTCTGCTTCCATCAGAAAGCTCAGTAACCTAAAGCACCTGTTATGCACCATGGCGGTCATCCATCCAAAGCACGATCTAGGCTCAAATCTGCTCAGCTTACGAGCTCGCGCTCATTCCGGCTGATGGGCCATCGGCTTCGTCACATGATTAATGTATGCAGTGGACGAAGTCTTTACGCAAGAACATTCTTTGGCACGGATACAAAGCAAGTAGGAGTGACGCATGTGGTAAGCTTTGCAAGGTGTGACTTGTTGTTTTGGCGGGCTTGTGTATGAATACACCTTAATGTAAATACCCAATACAGTAATAGTGCCACTCTGCAGACCTTGGTCCCTATAGGCGTTTGTGTTGGCAACGTTGGCCTAGGAACGGACATGACTGAGTTGAGAGTCTCTTCATTAGTTTTTCTATTCATTGCTCAGTAATTGTCTTCTTGGGTTGGAGCAGTGGCGAGCGCAGTAGGTCACACGCTGCACTATGAGTCTAGCGACCTGAGCGTAGCTTCCCGGCCATGGCTAACATCAGCGGCGAGTTCATTCTCAGCAAGTCCACCCTTCACCAACCCGTGTTGACAACGCGGTAAGTATGGCCAAACAACTTCCACGACCAACGCAACATGGGGAGGCCTTCTCCGGTAGTAGCTTGACAGAGGGACACAATGACCATCACCATTTAAACCGTTACCATGCGAAGTCTGGAAATGAAAGAAGTATTGTTTTAATGGCTATGCTTCAGATCAGCGATAAGCCACTTTAAATACGAATTCCACTGGCTTATTTGCCTTGGCTATGTTCATACTTGACCTCACCGACTTAGCCGCAAGAAGCACATGACCAAGTCATTGCAGGAGTGTACATAGTTCTCAGAAGTGTTTTCGGTTTGTGCCGCGTGTCGTTCCGCATGATGTCCGACGTTTCGCTCCACGTGCTAGGAACTTGTTGAGGAACTGCTCCCAGCACACGGGGGGAAACGTTGGGCATGACGCCGGACAACGCGCGCTCCAAGCCAAAGACGTGTCAGAATGCTCATGTATAATCAGCGCAACTGCGAAAAACCTACCCATTAGAATTGTATACATAGTGATGCAGATCAGCATCGGAAGTATAAAAAGCTCACCGTAGCTGTTATCGAAGAGCAACAGAAGGGCACCAGGCAAATAATCTGTACATAATGCGCCATTAGTTCAGAGGAAGCACAACGCCGCATTTGCACAAATGGGCCATTTAAAATATACTGCATATTTAATAATGGCATCAGAAACCACTGTCGCGTCAACATGCAGAAGGGATCTCCCTGTTAGCAAGTTTTGGTCGGGGATTCTTGAGAAGCAGGTGACAACCAATAAGACAGAATATATTTATTTTTAAAATTTGGCATGCTGGAACTTTTTTCAACACAATTTGAATGTATGTAGCATGTTAGCATAATTGCACCTCAAGACACTGTAGTGTGACCGTGCATCATGTAGAAGGTTACACATGCAATTTACATATTGTATCCTATATTCTTGGTTCTTTCGGTAAAGTCACGTAGAAGGGAAACAATAAAATAATAAAAATATAAAACAATAAAATTCTCACGACGTTTCGACTGCAACACAAGCAATCATCATCAGGTGTGAAAACCACAGCAAGAAAATTTGGTTTTCACACCTGATGATGATTGCTTGTGTTGCAGTCGAAACGTCGTGAGAATTTTATTGTTTTATATTTTTATTATTTTGTTTCCCTTCTACGTGACTTTACCCAAAGAACCAATAATATGAATCTCTGCAGTCACAAACGCTTTAAATCAAAATATTGTATCCTGTATGTTATTTTTCGATGACTGTCAGAAGAGAAGGCATGTGCCTGGACTTCTGCATCAGAATATTTATTTATACTGGAGGAATCCGCGGAGTGATACAGCTCTTTTTCACAGATGTCCAGTCACCCAAACACATACAAATAAAACTAAACCATCCCCATCCCACCAGGCAAAGCCCACTGAGGTATTAACTTATTTTTCAGAAGCGACCTGGCCACAAATGATAGGGGCAGGGAGTCAACAGTCTGGCTGATTGGGTTAAATGAGTTCCATATTGCAGGTGACATTTAACCAGGTGACAGCCAATTTAAATCATTATTACTATTCATGACTTCAGGTGTCAATGGGCTTTACATGGTCACAAATAAAGGTCAGGTATCTAACTGGCAGAACATTGCATAATTGTCACATTTACCCAAAGACGTCCCATAAACGTTGCCATCAATTATGGTCGCAAGGGTCATGGAACTTGCGCCACTTGCAATAAAAACTCCATGGTCAGGCCGAGCCAAGCGTTGTGAAATCATAGGGCGTGTATGCCTACCCCAGATACCGTGCGTCTCGTCACCCACTCACGTGATCATGTGATCGGGCTAATATTAGAGTACAGTTGCTCAAGCGTCGTGACATCATGAATTGGTCTGAATACATTGTACAGGATTGTATTATCGTGCAATTATACAAACTAGTTTGTCTGTTATAGTTAAGTGTTCGGTGGTTATCGTTGTGTACCATGAACCCTGCGAACCCAGTTTGTATCCTTACCACGGCGGACATCAGTGGCCATTGATATCTGAACTACTCCTGGGTAACCATCCATTAACTTCAGCAACGGTTAAGAATGGTCAATACAACCCCCCATCACAGCTCGCACACCCGTGGTTGGAGAAGGCAGCAAACACAACCGTGGTGATGCTGCACCGTCCTTTGCTGACCCGAGCACCTCAGCTCCGAGTCCGCCTATGGCAACCCGGCGTGCACGGTGGTCGCCCATCCAGGCATCAACCAGGCTTGACCCTGCTTCGCTTCCCCGATGAACTCCGGGAATTTGGCCATACCCACCCGAAAAGCCACTTCCACAATTGAGCAAACCCTACACAGTCTACATAAGCAAACACATGCTCATCACACATGCTCATCGCACATACTGGGGGGTGCAGTTTTAATGTTAATATCTATCGTTTCAAAACATATGGGTAATTTATGGAATATGTCAATGGTTTGACACGCACGCGAACTTGGATGTACCACCATCACGTCCCGTCGTGGATGAAAGCTCGCTTTTTGTCTCAGTCCGTCCAACACCACAGTAGCGAGCTTGAACATCTCTCCCGTATCAAGCCAAGCGGACAAAAGATTTCTCTCCAAATAACAAGGCGATAGTAATTGCTTTGACACACTATACCCATGGTAAAGCCCATGGTAAACAGCCCCTCATTGATTACACGAATTATCACCCACATCTTTAAAAGTTATTTACTGAAATCATCATCAGCTATGGTCAATCCACTGCTGTATAAAAATGCCACAATGTAATAATCCACCTGGCACCTAAAATCGAGCTGATTTCATCACTCCATCTCCATTGGGCGGTCCAATTCCATCCCTCGGCTGCCGCTCCGTCACAATTATTGACCCATTGGCCATCAGCAAGCCTCTCTAGCTGCGTGTCCCAGCCCCAAGCCCGCTTCTCCGTCATCGCAGAACTGGCAAAACAACCCTCTTCGTACGTTAAAACACCGCGACATCTGAGACAGCCAGTCTCTTAGTCAGGCCGGGTCACACTCGAAACACACAACGCCACGGCTTGGCCATTTTGGGGACATCTCTCTTCCTCCCTCTCGCGTTTCTTGGGAGACATTTGGGGAGAGCTGCGACGTAGCAGGGTAAACGTGAACACTTTGGCGAGACGGAGTAAAACACGTGTGCGTGGTGAAGTGACGCTCCTCACCTTCAAATCGTGCTTGGCAAGTGTCTCGATACTCGAGCAGACCCGGGGGGGACGAGAGAGCAGCGGCAGGAGGTCGATGATGTTCAGCGCCCGCTTGTAACGCAGCGCCCAACGCAAGGAACGGATGCGGAGAGGAACTCGCAGACTAATTGAGGATGCCAAGAGATTTCCGGAGGCGAGGCTCCCCTTTCCCATTGGCTGGGAGGAGGCACGTCACACACTCACGGGGTAGAAACACCGACTTCTGTCTGCCCTTTGGGTTGCCGCCGCTGCTGACGCACGGTCATGCGCCTTCGTGGTTGTGCCGGTGACGTCTCAGAGATCCCGATTGCAGGAATGCACTTTTACGGGCAGTTTCCTTCGCATTGCGGACTGTGGGGAGTTATTTATTTGTTAAACATACTTCACCACGCTGGTCATTGTGGATATACGTATACTACACCCGTCTTGAGCGCATGGTGCTCACCCATCCAAGCACTGGCCAGGCTCATCACTGCTTAGCTTTCGAGATCGGGCACATTCCAGGGGATGTGATATCACTGCTGAGTAGAGCTTACATCGTAACGCGTGAACTAACCTCTTTTCTTAGGAGTCATTTTTAGAACGGCTCGCTGCATTGGCAGGAGTTGGGCATTTCATGATCATCTATCCATGGTTGGATGATGTCCCCTGCCCATGCCAACCCTCGGCGTCCTCCAATGCCACAATCCATCTCGCTCATGAGTATCATCATCACCATGAGTTGTCTTTGCAATACAGCTTTTTTTTTGGGGGGGGGGGGGTCAGATCGCGTAAATATGAATGTGTCATTAAACAAATGTTGTGGATTTGCTCTCCGACACACCGGTGTGCTGTACTCGTAACGAATTGGCATCTTCTGTTTAGGTGACAAACCTTACTAATTGGCTGTCGGGTGGTGGCGGGTTTAACGACACATTTACACAATCTAACCCAAAAAACCCCAAACCTCTTATGGATGATATTAGTCGCAAAAGCCTACGTGTTAAACTGCCTTAGCAATGCTGAATGAAGGCCTCTCACCGCCATCATGATAAACCAATTCTGTCCATTGCTGAATGAAGGCATCCTCATGAACATCATCTTAACCGTACGAGATGATAGCCTATCCACACGCTCATGAAACACTGTCTATCAACTGCTGGATGAAGTCGCCTCCCACATGCTTCATCGTCCTGCAACGCCACAATCCATCTCGCTGCTGCACATGAGCTGCTCTTGTAGTTCCATCTGCGGTGGTCGTCCTCTCGGGAAGATTCCCTCCCTTGGCTGCCATTCCGTCGCCAGTCTCGTCCATTGCTCCTATAGCCATGATGCGCCCTGCCCAAGTTAACGACTCCCAAGTCAACACGTCGAATGAGATGTTTTCCCCTGAACCGAGCATGTGCCTCTCCATGTCTTTTCACCACACAAGCTCTGCCGTGACGTGCGCGCACACATGCAGCCATGACCACGGTGGTGAGGGTGTTCTTACATGTGTGCTATTTGATTAATTTGATCAATTTCACGTTGAAAACGAAACAAAATTTGTTTTGGGGGCCACGTATTGTTGAAAGATGCCGCCGTGGTGTAAATGAATGGTGAGTAACACTGGACTTGCATTCCAGAGGTTGCCGGTTCGATCTCCCAGCGCGGCACGTTAAAACGATAACGTGTCCTGAATCCCGTCATCTGTCCACCCATCATCAGCAGTTTAAATGTGTGCGACAGTGAGCTGATCCGCAGGTGGCTTGTCAGAATCAGAATATTTGTTTATATTGAAGGAATCCGATGAGCTTTAAATATATTTTTCACAGATGTCCAGCAGTTTCACAAATGTCCAGTAGATTGGGTTAAGAGTGGATACCCCCACCTCTTCCAAGGGGCTCTCACCGAAATATGGAGGACATCTTCAAATGTTCAGCAGACTTCTAGTACCATAATACAGGTGTTCTTTTGGGTCAGATCGCGTAAATAAGTGTGTAAGGGATCTGCGAGCCACCCTGACGCACACGCACCATGCAGACACGACATCTGTGATGCCACGACATTGAAGCCGCTCCGCCGAGACCGGGGCCGTCGCTGTGCTGCTGCAGCCGAGGAGCCACCCGGCTCCCGTCACAACGCTCCCCCCACCACCCCCCCACATAAAACACACACACACGCACTCACGTAGGGCCTTGTGGGGAGGTCACCTGCCCCTGAGTTTTCACCCGAGGGCCCCCCCCTCGTGGGGGTGCTCCACGGTTTCTCAGGGCCAGGGAATTGGCAGCCCCCCCCCCCCCCCCCCCCCCAGGCCGATTGGTACTGCGGCGCCGTAGATTTACTTAAAATCGCATGACCACGGCGGGCTCAATGAGAACCGCAATGAAGAAAGCCAAAAAGCACACGCGGACCAGGAGGCAGGTGGGGAGCGGGGCGGCGCAGGTTGATGCCTATGATGCGGTCGTGCACGCGGTTAAACAATAGGGGGCGGGGCGTCGGAGAAGGAGGATAACCCGATTGGCCAGGGGCCAGCGGATTAGCGGCGCTTGGACTGAAAGTGGGGGCATAAAAGGGAGTGAGATTGGGAAGCAAGGTCTCTTTTCGCTGGGGATCAACTGGAGAGAGGAATCGAGGAGTCGTCATCTCCCTGCTTCTCGAACGTCCGTGAGACGGGTCAGAGAGCAGCCGGGTTCAGTTTCCCAGCAAAAGCCACGGGCAGCATCATCTTTCCGCGACCTCCAACACCACGAAGTCGGATGGTAAAGTACGAAGAGGAGAGGTAAGGCAAGGGGAGAAATCCTGAGAGAGAGATAATAGAGAGAGGACAGGCCACTTGAGTATCAGACCGCAGAGAGATAGGTTAGATCTGTCCAGCTGGTGCACCGTGACACGGGTAGATTAACTCTAATTAAATAGAGAATAAACCACCAGGAGACACTAACCCGTGTCGGGGAGGGAGGGCAATGCATGGTGTGGTGAGCCTGTGCCCGCGCGTGCGCGTTCGCCGTGCACGTTAACTGTGAGCCTGTGCGTTGTGGTGCGCCGCGTGTTCTGTACGCGGGGGCACTCTCGCCATTGCGCGGCTCGTGGTTGGCTTGTACGAGACGGGCACCGCGGCATATCTGCGAGTTGGTTATTACAGCTATTTAAATCATGCTTCTGCGAGGAGCAGCAGCGAGCGGGGGAGCAGGGGAGAGCGGAGGGGCACAGGAGAATGAGGAGTCGAGGGGCAGCAGCCCTAACACATCTCTGCAGTCACGACAACACGCACCAATCACACGCGCGGGAATACGCGGGACGGGGGTCAGGGGTCACCCGGGCCAGGTGTACCCACCGTGGATGTGTATTGGGAAGGAGGGCGGAGATGGAGGGGTTAAAAGGGGCTGTGGGACGTGTGTTCGGGGTTGGTCTTGGAACGAGTGTTGCTGTGCGTTGGTGCAATAAATAAGTGCTTAAACCATTCTACGACTCCTCTTCATCTAGTGGCAATGGTGGGATGTAACGCCTCAACCGACGCAAGAACCCAAAGGGGGAGACACAGCATGAGGATGCTCTAGGTGCCCGGGACGAGATTTGCTCCAAAACGGAACCGACGAGTCGGGATTTGTCTCCCAGCTCATCGACGAGATCCGTGGCAGCTGCTCGTCCCGTGTGGCCACCTTCCTCCACCAACCCGGCCGTGCAGACACAGCGCCGCAGCCGCCGCAGATCATCCTCGAGGGATCGGAGGATGGATCTGCTGCTGGAGGCAGTCACCGCGCTGCTTAGCCGGCTGGGTCCTGAGCTCGAACGAGCGGGGGGAACCTCAGCCGCACCACCTCCCCAGCGAGGATACGGGGGCCACGGTCAGTCTTCCTGACCAGGCACTCCGCAGCATCTCTCCGGGGATGGAGTCAGACATCATATCGCCATCGACGAGTCCGTGGGGGGCGCCGGTTGTATTGGTTAAGAAATCGGATGGATCCTTGCATTTTTGCAGTACTCGCTCCGCATTGACCAAGCGACCAGATGGTTGGAGCGGCTGCAGGAGTACACATATTGAGTGGTGCATCGGAAAGAAGTCAGGCATACGAACGCCGATGCTTTGTCCAGACTGGCGGCCCCTGTTAAGTGCGCTTGCGGCAACGGATCCACGCGCTGTGGACCGCCGGCCGTGGCGCAACCCGAGATCGTGGCGCCGGTTTCCGCCGGGGACACGGACCGGGCGGGGCCGCCGGTATCGCTGGATAGCGACTTAGGGCTCACCCTACGGGAACGGAGGGACCGGCAGCAGGCAGATGCATCTTTGGCACCGTTTCGCCGCCTGGCGGAGACGGCACGCACTGATGATCTCCCCACGTCAGGGAGGTTTTTCCTCATGTGGGAAGGTTTGTTGATGCGCTGGGACGTGACTTTGAACCGTAAAGTTCTGGTGGTGCCCTCTTCCCTGCGAAGTCAGCTGTGCTCCGATGTTCAAGTCCGACAGTTGCTCCAACTAGGTAGCCGTAAGACCAAGGCTGCGCTACGCCTTCGCTATTTTTGGCCGGGCATGTCCGCCGATATCCGCCGTCGGGTAGCTGCGTGCGCGGACTGCGCATGCAGGAAGCTCCTACCGGTCGTGCAAACCACTCCCCTGCAGTCCATTAAAGTAATGCCGGGTAAACGAGCTCGTGGGTCTCGATATCTTGGGCCCCTTCCCCGCCACCCCTTGAGGGTGTAGATATCTACTGGTGGGGATGGAGTACTTTATACGATGGCCCTTTGCCTGCCCGTTGCCCGACCAGACGGCGGCGTCCATAGCGGACGCCTTTGTAAATGGCTATGTCACTGACAAGGGGGCTCCGGAGCAGCTGCTGACGGACCAAAGCAGAAACTTTTCCTCCAAACTGTTCCAGGAGGTGTGTGACATGCTGGGTGTCAAAAAGGTGCGGACGTCCCCTTACCACCCACAAACGGACGGGATGGTGGAACACTTTAACCGCACCATCTCGGGGATGCTGTGTCACTTGGTCAATGACCAGCAGACCCACTGGGATTTGCACATCCCTGGGGTTTTGACGGCCTATCGCTCGGCTCCGCATGCATCAACGGGATATTCACCATTTTTCTTGATGTATGGACGTGAGCCGAGCCCTCCAATTGAGGCACAGTTGCGCCCTGTCCCGTCTCGTGCGGGAGACTGGCCAGCCGCGTTCCGCCACTC